AATTTTACTTTAAAATATAAAAACCCTTATGTGTGGCTGGTACACCGTCTGCGTCCTAAAAAAAAAAAAATCTCACAACGCGATTGACCCTCATTTTAAGGGTGACTTTTTTCCCCCCAAGTGAGCAAGTCTTTGAATAACTATATTAAAACTAACAAAGTGAGTGGTCAGGGTTCATAATAGCCTACGGCGAAATGTCCAGCTAATTGTGTGCGCCTGGTGTATTAAAGCCCACGTTTCAGGGATCAGCCTCTAGTGGCGAATGTGTCGGACCCCAATTGTCCTCTCGTGTTTACGCGACCCTAACGTGACTTGTCCACTTTATAGCCCCCGGTCACTGGAGGGAGGCCCACAGCTTGTCCAATATTTCACAACAATAGTGCTCTGTCGAGGCAGATGGACGGTCCGGCAAAATTGACCAATGAAATGAATACGGAAAGCATGTTCGGCCAGTACCCCGCGATTTAAAAAAAAAAACCTGAGCACAACGTTCAACACAAATTACACTGGGATAATAATAAGATTAAAAAGAAACGGACAGCCAGTCGTGGTTGAGATGTGACCCTTGAATCAAGTCTACAAATTCACTGGTCCTTAGAGCAGATAATATCCTCTAGGAACAAAAAAATCTCATTCATGTTCAGATTCAATGCTCAAGTGATGTTTAAGTATAATGCGTTAGTGACCCGGTACTTATGACCCAAAGCAACGTTAAAAAGCTCTAAGTGTGAGCCACCAGATTGCTATTGCTTTCATTCGCTTCGATGGTTATCTGGCTCAAGCGATTGCTAAAGCGGTCCTAGGTCCCGAGTTACTTTTTTCAAAGAAAATGATAGGCCGACTATTGTTCACCCATGCAGAAAGATATAATTTTTCATCGCAAGAATGCAGAATAGGTCACGTGACTACAGGGGAGATAATTATAGCTCGGCACCAAAAATTTTGTGAATGTGGAGTGACGCTCCTTTCGGTTTCCAAATTATTAAAGTAAAAGGATGGATGCTTATCATTTGAAATTCTTTTAAACTTCTTCTTTCAACCAAATCCACGGTATAAAAATGATGTGTTGACAAAAACTATAGATGCTCTACAATAAAACATTCAGTCTACAGCTTGCGCAATCTACAGGGCAAAAAAAAAAACGAAAGTAAGACTTGTGGTCAATAAAACTTAAAAGAAACTATTGAAGCAATGATACCATAACAAGCGTGGCTGAAAAAAATTCTAGGTGATTTAAAAGAAAAGAAAAATCTACCATAGTAGGCCTGTATATATTTTTATTAACCTTGCGTGACTTGGATAAACTGGCTGCCGATGTCCAGAAGGCGACTTTCAAAGTGGGTCGGGCTTTGAAATTTGAACACGTGACAACGGTTGACCAGTAATGCTGACAGTCTATTTCATTAAATCTCCAAAAATGGTTAATGCTGTGCCGTGACAACCGATATTTAGGTGAGTGGCCAGCGTGGCCGTTGACAAGTGGACCGTACCGCCGCCAATGTTATTGAAACGTGCCAAGCATCGCGCCCACCGCCTCTGTGTTTTTGCTGCCTTCGCTTTTAATCGGTCTCATTCTTTCACGACAAGTCGCTCCACCCCATAATATTACTTTAGTTTATCTTTCAACCCTGGCTTTCTTCAATCTTATTTCGTGTTTTAAAACATCTTGCCACGCGACGGTGGCTCGTCCTCTGTTTCGTCAACAAAATTTAAGTTAATTTCGTTTCTTTGTTCCAGAATTTAGAACACTCTGGCTTATTACATTTTATAGTCCCTAACAACATCAACATAATAATTAGATCGATTTGTTTCATTTTTTTTAAAAAGACAAAGCACATTTTTAAAACATTTTTATTAGTATTGTATTTAGAAATGTTTTGTCTATTTATAAAAATGGTTACGAAAATGTAATGTAATTGAAAAAAGTATAATAATTTACTGTTCGCTAATTCTTTTTGAATAATATATTAGTTGTGAAAATTGGTTATCTTATTGAAAAGCAAGCAACTAATGTAAGCTACGTGTAAAACGAGAAGGATGTTTTCAAAATATAGAGCCACTTCCGGCCAAACGTTACCACACTTTACATGTTATAGGATAAACCTTTAAAATATTAGCCAGATTTTATTTTTATTTTGACTAACTGAACTTGTGGAATACTGTTCTCCTGTGTCTAATTTTAGTCTAATGAACACATTTGTTAACAGGAAACAATCAACTAAACTAATGGCTATTTTTTTTTTCAAGTACGGCTAGTTTCATAAATATCGACTGTCACACCTCAGTGACAGCAACTAACGTAATTGAGAGCCCATTCAAATACATTTTTAATATTTTTTTTTATTCTTTGAAGTTTTTATATTTTCATTGTTTTCTGGAGTTCCCCGTTACTTGTCTGTTGGGTTTGTTGTTAATCAGGGCACCGACGGGCACTTTTACCCGCGCACTCACGGGCTCAAAGCTGCACCTCATTAGAAGATTACGGCGTTTATTACAATAAGCTTTTACACTACCAATATCAGGTTGACTGAAAGCGGAATTTTCGCTTTGATTCACAACCCCTTACACGTGATTGGAGACTTCTATTCAAGGGGCGATTATTTCATGCGCAACAATTCCTTTCGACAAATAACACTGAGGCTGGCCTAGAGTCAATCCAAATTGAGGAGGAAAAAAAAATTTTATTGACATTTTCCTTTCGCGAAACTTTTTTAACCAATTAAATGCTGAACTTAAGACCTAGGCCAGAGCTTTTAAAATGGCCATTAAGCACTCACTTTTTTTTTATTGAACTTCATACAAATACAGATTACAATTACAGGTTCAAAACGGAACATTTTTAATAAACCGAAACGCCTGGTGTCATTTACTAAATGCTGTCCAAAAAAAATATTTAAAAACGAAGAAAAAAAAGCTTTAAAAATGCTGCCATCAATAAGTTTTCAATACATAAACTTGGCAATACATAAAATAGTTTACACGGTATAGATCTATGTGTTGGTTTATTAGGCTCGAAATTTTCAATATAATACTAATAATATAATACTAGTTATTGTGAAAGGAGTATAAGTTTATAACGCTTCTGTAAATGAAAAAATTAAAATACTATTTTACAAATATATTTTCAAACATAATAAATTAAGATAAAAGCATCGGTATAAATAATTCTTATATTGTTAGTATTTATTTTTACTAAGTATTTTTTTTAACTCGGTGTATTGCTTAAGTATTATGAAATGAATAAATAGCTACAAGCATTAGTGCAGGCTACGCTATACATCAGGCAACAAGCGAACGGCGTTAAATTGTAATCTCTCGCCAATCTTTGTGACTCAATGTTTATAAGGCAAAGGGGAATGAGAATTGCAAAGTAACTGCTATCTCATCTTCAGCAGCGATCAGCAACGGGGAAAGGAGACGGGCATTCGGAAGCACTTCAATCATCTTGGGGGCCCGAAAAAACAAAGACGGACAACTCTAAAGGTTAACAAAGGCAATGGGACGCGACTCTAAGGTTATCGGAGCAAACGTCAAACAAATCTCGAGCAGTGGAGACTAGCAGCGAGATCATCTGTGAATTGGAGGCGAAAACTCAATTTATTTCGGGGGGCCAGCTCGTTACTGTTAGCTCATTAAGAGGCCAATCAAATTAATGAACATCGCATGACCCTTTTCTCCCCTTGGATGGAAACTTAAATCTTTTTTTTTTTAATTTTAATCTTAAAAAGGGCGAGAAAAGGAAGATTATCTGATACTGTTACTAATTCACCTCGCCCACCCCTTCTTTCAAGTCAACAAAGCCGCTCTGCAGTTCAGAGGGGGGCGTGGGGGGTTGAAGCCTGTTTTATTATTTTATTTTTTAATGGAAAAGGAAACCGGTCAGGGAGCGTGAATGGACCTTGGCTGTTGTGGAGACTCGAGGACGGGGATAATAATTAAGTAAACTTTACAATGCATCTGCTGTGAGGAGGGAGTGGGGCTAGATTCGCCGAGGATCGCGAACAGGTTTGGCTGGGTGGTTTATAATTTATCTCCCCGGCCTCTACAATCTCCCAAATTGGAGAGGAGATCAAGTTATAGATGCGACTAGCTCTGGGTTGTTTCACCGCTCAGCCCTGCCTGGTCCCGGGGACCGTCTACTATTACAGAGTTTTATTTAGTCCCGGGGCTAACACTTGATTATACCGTGATACTGCCCTAATAGTCGCTTGGTTGTTTTTTTTCCACTATAGCAATGACTAAGACTAAGTCTATAGTTTGTACGACTTTTTTTATAAAGATACAGCTCGCATATTATACAAGACCTTCAGAATAAAGATTAAACACAAGATACGAGTATGTAAAATCACATGGGAAGATAAGTGAAGAATCTACTTCTCTTCCCTAATTTTTTTAAAAACAAGTTCAAGTGTGTGGAGGGGGAGGGGGGGGGGGGGGAATCGGATAATGCTAACTAAGCTTCAGCTTCGTCTAGAGATTGTAATCATTATTTTTTTAAAGCAATTTTATTTCTATTTACTCAGTGTAATCCCGTCCCATTGTCTAAATTTAAATATCTAAATTACATTGATAAAAATATAATGAATTAATATATTCACAAAAAAAAGTTAATAAAACGCAACATATCTTTGCACAGGGAAAAAAACTACATAAAGCAAAAACGGATTCAATTGTAATAATTTTACATCTGGAGTTAAAAGTTGTATTAAAGGTATAAAATATTTTCTTCATTATTTAATTTTTTATTTTTTTTAAATCAAGCCAGCTGTCTAACTGAGACAACCCAACAACGAATTAACATCCATAGTATATTTTATGATTTTTTTGTAAAAAAAAATAAAAATTAAGACGATGGTTTCTTGAATGCACCGTGAACATTGACGAAATACAAGTGTAGGGTAGTAGTAGTAGGCTACTTAAAACCGAAGATCCCCGCGTCGTGTTATCGCTAGTGGTAGCAAGAGAATGTAACAAGCATGCATGCCGGGCCGAAGACTTACTTGTGCTTAGATCTGTGGTGGTGGTGACCGTTGGCGTGAGACATGTCCGATATTTGAGTCGGCAGCTTCATCTCAGAAAACATGAACAGGGGCTGTGGGCATTTGCGTAGCGCGCACGTTAATCCGTTGCTGCTGATGTTGTTGCACTTGGTTGTCAAACCAATGCTGCAGACGTCTTTTCTGTGCCGACTTTTTCTCCGGGTCCTGGCCTGTAGATAGAAAAAGTCGGGGTATTGGAACGAGTTGAAGATCAGCCCAAAGTAGATAATACGCAGCATCGTAATTCTCGTCCGCATCGGTTACATCTATTTTAAATATAACGCACAAAAACAGGAGTCAGTACTGTCGATGGTAAATCCAAATTAAATTAAATCCAGTCTTTGGGGGCTGATGTGTGTAGAAATGTAGCCAAAAACTGACGTGGTGTATGCCAGTAATTGTATGTGATTAATAACATCATGTAAAAGTATTGCCAAATACGTTTCGAATATATATTTGTCAATTCTTTTGTTAACCTGGGATCGACATAATTATAGAACGCTTGCTTTCATTAATCATCGACGAGGGTAGAAAGCGCGCATACAAATAGCTGGTTATCCTCTGTAATGTCGCCCAAGTGTTTGAAGTTGTATAATAACCAGAGAGACTTCCTACTGCTGGGCGTTGTAATATAACTGGCGTGGGAAGATAATGGTACCAGGCAAAGGTGCAACATGCCACTACGACGATATCCGCTACCTAACACAAAGTAATTATATACCTTACAGAACAAGTAATACAACGTGTTATTCCTTCTATTAAAATACTGCATGACACAAGATTAATTTAAGGAGTGTTAAATGTGTACTGACAGAAAATATTAAACTTGTTTTCAAAAATAAAAACAATTGATCAACATAATCATTCTTTTAAAGAAAACATTTTAACCAAACTATTGTTTGTATTAGCCAAACCATACAATTATTGTTAGCTAGTATGATACACATTTTCGTACTTTTCTGCAATATGTTGTTGAGAAGGTCTCAACCTGTCTCAATGCGAACACAAGACGAGGTGGGTGTGGAATAGTTTGTGCTTAAAAACAACCACGTGTGGACCGGAGCTATTATTTTTAATTAACTTAATCATATAGAAATAATGCCATATTCGTATACTATTCATAATATAAAGAGAAAGTATTGAATTGTAATAAGCATTAATTAGTTAATCTATCAAAGATGCAACATAATATACCAATAGGTAAAGTACACATGCAAGCAAATGCAAATTGGAGTGATTAATGTATTAGTAGTTAAACAATATGCAGTTGTTAGAAAGCAATAATTATACAATGGCGTGTAGATAGTTTTAATATAAAAAAAACCAAAAAGATTTAACAAAAGATGTACACGAATAAAGTCATTTAGAGAGCAAGCCAATAATAAGAACAGGAAGGTTATATTAGTTATACACTTCATCCAAAACTAATGATCTGAGTCGAATATTGATTGACACTAGTGCTTTTACATAAGAGGGAAGTAAATATATCTTAGCCCATGTAAACGAAGCCATAGTATTTTAATTAAAGTGTTAAAGCTGTAACAGCAAAGAAGTAGGCTGTAGAATATTTATTACCTTCGAATTGTACTTGGTTAGTTATGACGTTTAGGTTACTGAAGCTATTTGTGACTATGCATACATAAAATATTACTCAACATGAAAAATGTTAGGAAAACTTGCTTGCATAACCCTAAGAGTTAATTCTAATCATTGGCTAATTGCACACTGAAGTCCAATCGTATTCTTTGCATGATTTTACAAACTTTTTTTTTAATTAATGCAAACTGATTTTTAAATCACACCCTGTGTTTTAACTTAGTTTAACAACTTCATTGTCAGACTAAAGTCTTTAGCATTGAAACAATGTAAATTCTGTTCAGGTTTAATCAGGCAAACAATGTCCCCCAAACACACTTGAACTAGCTCTAAGACACGGCAAACACCCACACGACAGCTTCAACAAGTCCGCTGTACGTCGACATGACCGTTTGATCTTGTGTAATCGAAATATAATGACATCAGACGGTTTGGTTTTTTTTTCTTCTTTCTTTCCCCTCACTAGTCCTTCTGCTTGTTATGATGTCACTTGCGCATTCTCAAAGCATCCGCCGTCTTGCTGGAGGCAAGTAACCCCACAAGACCTTAGTTAAAACCTCGTTACGACTTTTTCTTGGCCGCCGAAACCAAAGACGTGAGGACTACGTATTTCCTATTCACCGCGCGGAACTATCCCTTTCGGCCATCACAACAGTGCCAAACGCCGGGTTCCCGGACACAATTGAGCGGACGCTTCTACCCTAACCCTCTGACCCATAGCCCCTGAAAGCGACTCCCACGGACCAAATCTCAAGAAAACACCAAGCAGCCCAATTGTGTATGACGCCTGTCTTAGCACCCCGATGGCACGCGCCGCGGACAATGGGTGTAGGGAGACAGACACTTCCACCCTATCAGTTTTCAACACCATGAAAGTAGGGCGACTAACGAACGGCCCGTGACTATGACTATACAATCAAGTAGTTAAGTCGCCTTCGCTTTTTAACTCCGGACAATAGTAAAAAGTGAAATTGGTCATGAGAGAACCCCTTCAGATCGTCATAATAGCTTTAAGTGTTTTGCAAACAAGCCTCTGTCCGAGCTGTAGGCTTCTGCATCGAGGAGCTCACAACAATAGGGTGAATAGGGGATCTGGTCGAGCTGGGCACTGAGGTGTTAGGAATTAGTAACGATTACGTCGTAATCAGGAAACACTACACCACTCACGCTCGGGTGTTCGTGACCTCGGCTTTAACCCGTGACCTTAAGGCCAAAGTCAGGTGCGACTCGTCATCTGTGTATGACACGAGACGTGGCCAGTCATGGCCGAGACTCGGTTTGTTCTTTTAAAAATTAATTCTTCAACGTCACGGTTTTTTTTATTCTTAAAAAAAAACATTCTTTGAAATGCAAAACAAGAATTATAAAACATTAAAAAATTGAGATTTTTTTTTAAATAGTGACCATCGCTACCAATTGTAAAAAGGTGTTTTTGTTGATGATGATTAACAAGGATTTGGCTAGCGAAAATAGCCATCTGGAACTGACGTCTCAAGTTTTTTTTTAAATATCAGTTTGAACTAAAACATTCTAAACTTTACCCTTCAACTCAACTAAATGTTTTTTTAGTGTTTGCCTGTCATCTTAAAGAAAGACTGAAGTATAGTTGACCAGAAGAAACTAGAGAGTTAACAGTTGTAGTTCTAATTTTAAAGTTTACGGTTGAGGTATATTCTATTTGTTGTTATAAATACACATTCATTTTTAAATGCATAACTTAAAAGTGTTAAATTATTTTAAAAATACTTTTAAAATTATGAAAAAAACTTAATGAAATGATTAGTAGGAATAAACATAAGATAAAAATAAATAATACAAATATTTTAAACTGAAATATTAAATGAAACTTAAATTTGAATATTCTGATTTGAGTGCGATAAATTTAAATTCAATCTTACAAAAATATTAAAATTGTAGATTTTTTTTATGTATAAGCTATCAGAACAAACAGTAGGGGTTGTATTTTAAATATATTTTGTGATTATATAAATTGTGTAGGCCTAATGTATTCTCTTTTAGATACAACTATTTTCTGTCTTTAAGGAAAAAACATTGAATTAATACATGTTTAAACTAATAAATAAACTATTCCTTTTAATGTTTCTAATTATAAATATTCATGCAATATGTATTGTAAGGTGTGTTTAAAACCAAGTTAAATCGGAATGAGAAACTGAGATTATCCCAGCAATCTCACTGCTCAGTCATCTCAGCTTTAGTTAAACCCGGTTAGTCCATAGCCGAAGCAGACACGAGAGTGAAAGGCCAAACAGCCTGAGAGAAAATGTGTTCATTGATGGCTTCTGCTAAATGATTGAGGGAACAAATTTTCACTACGTGCGCTTGCATAAATCAGGCAACTGATTGTTTGTGTCAACACCGGGGTGTACCCTGAGCCACCGTAACCCAGGCGGTGTTTTCTTGGCCAGGCTAGTTTGCATGCATGACATGGCCCACTATTGTGTTTTCGGATAGTAGCAGACATTTTTTAATGACGTTGAAAGCGTGATAATTTTTGTATCAATATTTAAAGTTGAAAAGTACCTCGAGGAAGACTGTGAACGCGTCTTTTTAGTATTAGTCCGCCGCTTCACTTTTCCCCCTGAACTAAATATACATGTATTACTAAACAAGTAGCATTCGAGAACACACACATATTAATTCGTTTGTTATTAAGTGGTTGGGATTAATTTAATTTTGTTGACTAATTTTCGCAATAATCTTGTTGCTTTCAATTTTTATAAGATGTAGCCGATGACTACGCAGGTTACGCAGCCCAAATTTATTTTTTAACTATGCAGCTTAACAAATGAGAAATATATTTTTCTAAACCGTAAATTTTAACAATAATTGAACAATTTTTATTGTTGACTAGGCAAGTAGCCTAGTCGTAGGCCTGCATTTTCATGAATTCAAATATTTACGAGTGACAATGTCTTTCATTCAGACACACACAAAAAATCAGACAAAGAAGGAGGCGTTAAAGTGTTTTAACGTGGAGATGACGTAAGCCCTATTAGCAATTACAATGATGGCTTCACACTTAAACGCCAGGCCCTTAAAGCTAATAGTAAATCAAATACAACATCACTAATATAACTAGAACTAGATCCATAAGATAATTTAACTAGAATGCCAAGTCCAACCGTTAACCTTTCTAATGGTAACAGCTATCGCTTTTAAAATCAATGCGTAAGTAACAGTGGAAGTGTGCGAGGGGGAAAAAATGAGTGCTTCATTAGCAAAGTAGCCTCACTCCATCCGTTGACATTGCTTTTGAATTATATTTAAAGTCCCCATAAACCAAATTCAAATAGGGGTCCATTTGGGTATTCTAACGCTCTTATCGTAAGGACACGTGACCGGTGCAAGGCTTGGACATTAAAAAGCGGTCCAATTTTCACGGGCATTTTCCCGCCTCGTGCCTCCGTCATCACAGCACATCGAATTCTGTTCTAAGAAAGCAGAAGTGAGGTTCATCTTCTCTGCTAGATCGAAGTGATATTTTTTATGAGTTTGCCGAAGCACGATAGTCCTTTAGAAAAATCTGAATATCAAAACAGAAAGGACGTCGCGACCAAGCACAAACTACTTTGAACGCCGTAGGATTCTCCATTGAGGAGGCGGCGCTGGGATGGGAAAGTAAACATCGCAGACAGTGCAGCGCGACTATGGGCCAGATTTACGATCATCTTCTGCCCAAAACAACTGTTAAAATAACTTTGGGCTTTGTCGCGTTCATAAAAACGGCTTAAAAACGTCATAAATTTTGCAGCAATCTTTGGGCAGCTGGGGTCCCTGTCTTGGCCATTTTGTTTTTTAAGAAAAAAAGCGTTGGCTCTGATATCTTAGGATCTTTATTACGAACCAGCCTGGGCGGTGTTTGCTTGCAGATTGGTTGAAACAATAGGGGTCATCGTGTATGCGCAATTCTCTAAACACCGTCGACTCGCGAAGAGTCAGAAATGTTCAGTACTTTTATTGCCATGCAAATCATGACCCTCTCGATAGAATGATATAACACTGTTAACTAATCATTATAAATTATACCCTTCGCGTGGACATTTATAACAGTCAAACAAGTTTTAAGAAAAAATTAGAACATCGGTATACATTGGGCGGGACACACACACCGGCAATCATTGTGGGTGGTATTCGTTTCTAGAGAATGATTCATGTTTATTTCTGATTGTGTAATAAGCCTTTTCTCTTTTACCTCAAGAAAGCGGATGCAACAAAATATACATTGATTTATTTTCTTCCAAGAATTAAATTTCAATTATAGTGACAACGTATGATTAACATTTTATTTAGGCACTTAGTAAATACCAAATTAATCTATGTTGTAAAAGATGTATCATGTATTTACTAGATCTTTGAAGATTTAAATTGTCAGATGTAGTGTTAAACAACGATCCATCAAATGAATATGTATTACAAAGTACAAAGAAGTGATAAAGGAAGGAGCACAACAAATGTTTTGACCTTAGATTTAGATCTACGGCAGAATGAACAATGTACGCGTGTTTAGGCTCTTATTTTTCATTATTTAAAATTAAATTGAAATATCTGTTTTTAGAACATTGAAACGCTTAAATGTTGCTTTCATTATTCGACTGAACTTTCGGTTAAAATAATATAAAATCTTTATCGAAGAATATTCTTTTTACAAAAAAGATTTATTAAACTAAAATACCAAACGGTAGCAAAAAAAAATTTAATGGATATTGCACTCACCATGGAAGGAAGTTTTGTTAAGTGAGATTAGTAATTTCTTTGTCATAAACAATATGTTAAATTGTATTTATTTTAAACATGCGTCAGGCCTTAAATGGCTGCTTTTTACCAATACCTAAATTTATTTATAGATGTATCTTAGACGCAGGGCTCTATACAAATAGGCACACAAAAAGTGTTACATTATATTTTTAAATCTAAAGCTTCTAGTTCTAGTATTTCCATCTCCAAGCATTCTAAATTGGTGGCTTTAAGTATCCCATAACATTTTCAAGTTACTCTTACACCCGAAAGTGTTAGCCGGCAGAGAAGCGTGCAAGTGAATCACATCGGAGAGGTCGCGTAGAACGCCAACGTTAAACTTAAAAAGGCCTTAGAATGCGGGTGTTGATAAAAGATAACGCCACATTTCAAACTACGACATCCGTATTAAAAATATACCCCGTGTACTAAAATGCGTTGGTGTAATTGCTATTTTTTAAAGTTTGCCGTTTTGAATAGAACATTATTTCTGACATAGAACAATTTTAACAATCACCGCCTTCCTAAATAAGAGCCAGCCTAAGTGAAACGCATGAGTGGGTGTTACATCGTGCAGTATAATTGTAGCTTGGTAATGGGAAACATGCTGTTACTGGTGATTTCACCTTCGGGCTGTGCTCGGCTGGTTTTTTGGGTTGTACATTATGTCACACACCTGGAGGATTTGGAGGTGGGGGAGTGTGGGAGGGGAAGAAAGGTTCACACATTTCTGACTAGGTGTGTGGAGAGGAAAGAGTTCTAAAGATATGAGGACAAATAGAAAAGAACTTCCAAAAACACTAATTGTTACCACTACCGAGCCTAAAAAAAAACTTTATTAGAAATATTAAGGAAAAATAAAATTAAGTTGAGAAATGAATATTTGTCTTTATCAGTCAATAATTTTTGCATAAGTAGGCCCAAGGTCTACATTCGTAGAAATCGCGTACTTTTTAAGCGTCATATTTATTCGTTAGCCATTTTGTGTGGCAGTATGACCGTTTAATGAATAGGGAAAGGGAATGCGTGGAAGGAGAGGGGAGGGGGCGAAAATAATAAAGTTAATATTATTATTATGGTATGTTGTTTTTTTTTTAAATATTCTACTCTAAAGGTCTTTTCAACGTTCTTTGTGATTTTTTAAAAAGCTCTAAACGAAAGACAAGTACTCCCACACGTCACCGCGCAAGTTGGCATTCATTACATTTTAGCAAGGCGTGTAACTCTGGTTTTATTTTTGAAAGAGCTATTGATTTTCGCCATGCAGCACCGCTATGTTAGCTTGTTGCTTGGCTAACTGCTACTACGCATGTGCTAATTGCACATGCCCAGTCTCGTTTTCGCAGTGGCGGTAAATTTAAGCCATGCATTCAGACTGACTTCTTGTTTATAAGCTGTCTGGAATGGTGATAGTGATAAACAAGAGATGCACATATTTTTTTGGCCTAGAATTATTTTTGTCTTAGAGATAGGCTCTAAAAGACACCTAAATAAGAGAGGCTTTTAAAAAATAAAAATAAATAACAAAACGTTTAACGACAATGAAAGCTGAATGTGTTAGTCAATTGAACAAAGAAAAACAAAAAAAGAAGTGTAACTCGTGCTGAACTGAAGTTTTCAAATTTACTTACTATTTGTAAACATAATTCATGTATAATTTTATAAATAAAATCATTAAGTAACATAGCCAAAAGTGCTAAACAAGACATTAACATAAAAAAAAATTTAAAAAATAAAATCAACTGATATTGGACCACAGAACAACCGTAGAAGTTTTTAAAAAATTGAAATGTATAACATTTAAAAGCTTGTGGTGGATATTTATAATTAATGAAGGTGTAAAAATCATGCTTAGGAAGTAAAGTAAACAAGTCGTGGTTATGTTTTGTAGACTAGAAACACTCACTTTTCCCTGCCCACATTTGTAGAGATAAATATTTGTGTCCACAATACCATGCAGTCCATTACAGAATTCATTTTAACATCAAGCACATGACTATCAAAAGCAATTATCAAGTTATCACAAATTATTTTTAATTTCATTTATCGTTTGCTTAGAGTAAAAATAGGTACAAATTTATGAACAACAGAAACTTTAAATCTTTTTTTTAAGATTTAAAAAAAAATAATTTCAATGAATAAAATAAATTTTATACACAACCAATAACATAAGTATAAAATACGAACATGCTTAGCAAGCCGAATTTCTAACATAGCTGCATCAACTACGTCAGATACAAATCACAAACGAAATCAAAATAATAATTTTTTAAACTGAAACTTGAAGCAAACAAAAAGAAGTTTACAACAGTAAATAAGCAACACAGACAGACCACTCATGATATGAGTGAATAATTTCACTTTTATAAAAATCAGAGAGGTCTGGTGGTTTTTGTTTTCTAACTTAAAATCACTGGATAGAAAAATGTTAAAATTGTACAAATAAATAAAGTTTCTATAAAAGATAAATTTTATTCTGTTGTATATGTAAATAGATCACAGCTTTACCGGAGTTATCATATTAATACTTTAAATTCTGTGCAGGCTTTCATTATATTTACACAACCATTTTTTTTTAATAAAGCAGAAAATTTCAAGAATTATCAGGGTGTTCAGCATACATCACTTTAGTACTAATTGTTCATTATTAACATTGTAAGGACTATTATACAATAGTTCTCTCCCCTTCTGTGATAAGGACCAGATTTGACAAGATGGGCTGAAAAGACTTGACCCCTACAACAAGCAGGGCAAGTCCTTTGAAAATAAAGAGTGAGACCAATTCTAAAAAGTAGGGTTTGGTGCTATCAGTTACTGAGACAAAGGTAAAGAGCTTTTACTGGTGAATGAGGGTCATGAGTGGTCATGAGAAGAACTGTGAGGGTGTTCTGAGATACATAACAATGCTTCAACTACCTCAGCTTCAGATGCTGCTTGTCTTTCTTGCTCTTGCAGCCTCTGTCTCCGTCTCTCTTCAAACTCTTGCACTCGTCTGTTGTTTTGTTCTATTTGTTCTCGTAGTATTGCATCTTCAACCTGTAAGTTTAACAATGCACAAGAAACTGTTATCAAGACCATTTAAGATGAGAAGTGTGGCAACTGTCTGTCTTGAGTGAACAGTGCACACGTCCGTTCACAGATTACATCATCATGCATCTGCTCCCTTCGATGTTTTTTTGTTTCTGGTCCTAAATATGACCCTAAAAAATTAATTAAAGCTATAGGGGGCTCTCTACGTGGCATGTGCCGGCCCCTATCTGTTAAGACCAGGTGCTGTCTCGAGATGCACATCATGTTGCCTCCCCCATTTAGCATGCTAATCACCCAGTCAATGTAAGCGGAGATGTTAAGTCCAACAACAGGCCCTAGAAAGAATCTGCCCTGGTGAAGTGTGTAATCGAGTAAATCACCTGGTCTTTTGTCTGTAATTAAAATAAATGGCACACGTGATGAATATCGCACCCACTGCACCATTATATCCTATGGATGATGGCCAACAGCTGAGCAAGTCAGAAGGAGCCCTGGTACAATGTGCACTTTGTGAGTGCAACCCCACCCCTTAAAAACTGAAGAGAATGATTAAGGAAAAATGACATAATCAGCTGCTATTCTTAAAGAGTGTGAACAAAGCACATTTATAATTGGTTCCAGCTTTGTGAGGATCACAGAAAAGCAAAGAAAAGTGGCATCTTGAAAGAGCATGTGCCAGCTAGAAGGGGGGACATTTGCTCACAGCTAAATCTCAAAGCCTGTCTTATGAATGCTGGCAAATAATGTAAGACAGCTGAGCTTGAAGCATGTACCCCACTAAATATTGATTTTTTTCTTTGTCTTTTTCCACCTCATTGTCTGTTACAAGTGCAAGTTGCTTGTGAGGCCCAAACTCAGTTATGAATATAACGGAGCTCACAGGGGCTACGTAAGACAAGCACTTGCACAAGCAGTGTCTGGGCTCTAACTTCTTAGTGCTTTCTTGTGAGATTCTAAAGGCCATTCTTTGTTTGTATTTTTGTCTTCTTTAATGGCCATATTTGTTTTTAGAAAAAATAAATCTTGGCAGATGGATGGCTTGGAAAAAGGAGGTTTTTTTAGAGTCTGAAGAGGGCATGTCATTTAGGGACAATTGTACATTAATCCTCACTCCTAAATTGGCATGCTGCATGTTTAAAGTAGACTCATTCAGGGTTTTGAAATATTAACATATGGGTTGCAATTACATGGCTTTTTATGCAATTGTTGTGTTAATCAGATTGGTAGAGGCTAAAAAAACAGTTGCAGTGGAGAACAACTTAAGGTGGTTCCAAATGTCTTTTTAAAACTCTTTGTCCTAGGATTTATTTTCATCATCAAAGGTTCAGATTTCCTTGTTCCCTGCCAGTGTTAAGATTTTTAAATGTCTTTTAAAGAAAATACTAAGTTACACAAAGAAAATGTTTTTGATAAAGAAATATTTAGATGAGATAATTCAGTTTGGCTACTAAAATTAGTTCTCATTCAAAAGGAAAAAAGGGCAATAACTCTGCCTAACTGCTGCACATTTAAATTTTCACAAAGAATAAAATTTAAAATAAAATTCATTGAAAGAAATTTATTATTTAAAACCTACAGCTTTCAAGAAGGCTGGTCAAAACAAAATAGTCTACTTTCATACCTTGCACCTGCTTAAAATATTTGTATAGCAGACTTAAAATGTAACACAACAATGAATTTAACTGATATAGTATATTCTTATTCTTTCAAAGTATGTCTTGATACATGAGAATTAATTAAAAATTTTAACTAATCAAGTGGTATGTAATTGGAAAAAATCTTTTATGATTAAATAAAATTTAAAGATTGATGCAGCTTTACCTTTATTTACAAATGAAGTTTGAATCATTTGTTTTGTTTGAATCTTTTTACCTTTTTAGTAAGTAAAATAGCTTAACTTCTGACATTTTAATATTGTAATGTACACAAAATAACTATTAATAAGTAAAAACCATCAATAATTGTCACAACACCCTTACACACCCATGTCACACACCATCATTGTTTTACTAACAGCAATAAAACATGTTGTGAAGACCAGATGTTTTCATTTTTAAAAATTAAATATCAAAATAAATATATATTGTGTTTTTATGGGACAACATAGCAAATATTACACCTCTTTATAAAGTTATATTTTACATTTACTCAAATTTGAAAAGCACATTCAACTTAACATTTAAGCCCCTAGTTTACCAGGCAAAAGGAGCATAAAATGAAAGCTACAAAAGAAATCCTTTTTTAATTCTTGTTATACAAAATGATTGTGTTATTCAGATCATATTGAAATAACTGAGAGAAGAAAGAATGTACTTACTTCTGCTCTTTCCTCATCAAATTCAAGGTAGCCTATTCCATCTAACCGTATCAAGTCTACCCAACCTCTCCAAACAACACATACACCATTTAAAATAAATTGAGATTTTAGATGAACCTGAAAAAAACAAAATTTTCCAATATAAAAAAATTATGCTTTTTACAATGATGTATAACTTCAACACACAACATATGAAGCTTCAAATTTTTAACCAATGGTCAAAGCTATTTGCACATCCATTTGGTTAAAATAAATATGAGGTGTGTGTGCACCATGCACATTGCCTTTATTACATACTTATTGTTGTGAGAACATGCAAAACATTAAGAAATATCACAATTTTTAGTTTACTATTTTGACTCTACCAATTTATACTCTGATACAAAGATGAAAAACTGTTTTGAATAATATTAATGCATTATTTGTTCTTGACTGAAAAATGTAAGATTTTAATGTTCAAATGCTGTATGTCAATATATATATAAATTTAAAATATCAAGTTTGTTTTCTAAAATCATATTTTATATTCTATAAGTCAGTTTTTAAAAATTGCAGTAACTGTTCAAGTTCAAAGAATTTTAAAAGTGTATTTAATTAAATTAAAAGATATCTCAAAGTAATAATTTTTAATCAGCGTTTTAAAGTAATATAATTTTTAGACTTAATGCCTACAAATAAATGAGAGAACAATACATTTTTATTTAAGCAGTTTGTAGATTTAACTAACATGCACAGTTTTTATAGAAGAAAAATTATGGCTCTATATTGATATTTTTTAAAGATCATATTGATTGAATGACATGCAACTTAACGGATATTGAGATTATTGTGAATAAGCACTTGAAACCCTATGTCTAATAGTTTCCGTGTAGATAGTACAAGATATATTTTATTTTTTAACATCTAAACTAGATACTAGTAAATTAAAGCATGTTACTTTCCAGCATATACGTACACACACACATATATATATATATATATATATATATAGGCCTATATATATATATATATATATATATATATATATATATATATATATATATACCTATATAACTGAAATATTGCATAATATGTCAATTCAGAATTTAAAAATCAAAATTTCCACTGCAATGAAACCAGTGTCAGACTTTTTTCTCCGGGGGGGGGGGGGGGGACACACTATTAAAAGTATATATTTTCTATATTAATTACCTTTCGTTCGGGGGGGGGGGGGCGGAAGATTTTGCCTGGAAGAAACTCTGAATGAAACTGAACAACTGACGCATGGTAGACTTTATCAATAGTATTCTGTCTCCTTTTAAATTTTCAATTCAAGTCTATGCTTATTTAGGTCTATATCTAGATATAATCTGATGAATAACTTATTTCTAAAATAAAATTATTTAGGCTAGATAGTTAAGATAGCCTGCAATTAGTGTAGGGCAGTGTAGTAATGATTTTCATTCTACTTGATGAAAGTTTGAGCCCTGCTTGGTTCATTTCTTGGTTTGATCATAGGGTTTTTCATATTTGTTTTTAATTTACTTATTAGAATTCGCCATTATTATCTAGAGTAGAGTTCTAGCAAGTCTAAAAGTCTAGAATTTGATTTTCTCAGTAGATTCAGTAGATCTAGATTAATCTCAAACTAGATCTAGAAATATTCATTGTTTGTTGTTATTATTATTAAAATAATGTTATGATAAAATATAATTAGATCTTCTAGGTTCTAGATCTATATATTGATTAAAATTAAGATCGAGGTAGGGCCTTGTCTATTTTACTTCCTTCGTATAGATCTCTACCTCGCTTATGTAAACATCGTTAAATAGACCCCACTAATTTACAGGGGAGAAAGTCAACAGAGAAGTGAAGTCAATCAGTGCAGAAATCAGCAGACGACATGGTTGGCTTGCCGAGCTTGGCATCATTAGTGGGCGAAACGAAAAAGTTATGTTTAGTTAAAACTTATTTTTAATTGCTCTACTTTAAATATTTTACTTTGATGCTTTTAAATTTTCTTACCATGAGCCATCATTATTTTAAAGAATATAGATCTAGATCTATTAATTATTAAGAGTTAGATTCTAGATCTATAGTCTACACTTTGGATTTACTTCGGAGTTCTGCTAACATTTAACTTTGTTTAGTGGACTTATCAGTTTGCACAAACGCGGTAATGCGACTTCCGGTGCTTACCATCTAGGCATAACACATAGACGCGGGTAATGATGCGAGCAGGAGCATAGTGTGTGTTGGTTTTTTTTTTTTTTAGCCTAATTTAATTTTTAAAAATTACGTTAGCCAACAAGCGGTTCAATAACTGTGCTACGTAAACCTTAGATCTAGAAGCTGGCAAATACGTAGTTAGCCACTTTATCCAGAATCCACAATCAGATAAACGCATAGGAAACTTCACGCGGAATATGTTAGTCTCATACGAAATTTAAATCTTTTAACCTAGTCCTCCCTCTTACTATAACACTCCATATAACCCTTACTATAAGATCCATTGAAAAATGATGTTATTTTTGTGTTTATTGCCTTATTACCGGGTTGAGTTAAGATTACCGATAATAAAAAGCTACTTTTACCAGCAAAAAAAAGTTTTGGGGTACTCGCTTGCATTACAAGTTGGGAACCATTAACTTCAACCAAGGTCGTTTTTACGCGTGTTTGTAAAGCGTAGTAACCCAGCTACGCAGCTTGGAAAGGGGATTTCCTCTGCTAAACTAGGGCACGGCGCTCAGCTGACTCATAAGGCTTGGAATCATGTAGGTATAACTTCTAAACGGTGGGTTCGCGGTTTCATTTTTCGAGTGGGAGATATTTATATTTTTTTGAATATATATATATTCGGCCTATATTTTATTTCGGCTTTTCGGAAATCAGGATCTAAAGAACTAATACAACACACCTCATTTAAAGAGTGTTGATCCATTAAGTCTTTGTTGCGTAATGATTCCCTGTATTACTAATATCAAAACCTTGGTTCGTTTCCCCTGCCAAAAATTACCAAATAACAATTAAAAGGGTGGTTCCGTATAGGTTTTTAATCACAATGTTTTATGGCTTCGGAGGCAGTTCGTCGTCGGCATAATTAGTTTGGTCCGATCAATTTATACAGTGTCACTGCATAACGCCTTTTTATTCGAGTCCGTTACCGCTAGCGGATTAAATTGGCTCATTATATAATTATGTTTCATGTCTATTAGGAGAAGCGTGCCGGGGGAAGATGCGCCCGAGACAGGTAAATCTTCTGCCTTGAGAAATCAACAAAATACAAGCGCGTCCGTTGTGCGCGTTTAAATCTTACATTGTTGATAATCCCGACGTCGAGGGGGTGTGGCTAAACGCGGGGTGGGTCGCGTTCACCGGTTCAGGTTCATGTACTGCGACATCAAACCACGCGTGGGATAACGGCTTTATCCTAATCGCCTACTTAGTGTTTTTAACATCTACTTTGTTTGCGTAATCCCTTATGCTTTATAAAAAAAGGAAAGGAAGAAAGAAAGAAAATTCATTTACTCTGAATCCTCATCTCCCCCAATCCCCCCTCCTCCCTAGCAAACAGGACCACGCCCCAGAATGAGATACCGAATTAACACCATGTGTAATTGACTGGTTGAGTTTTAATCCTAACCGGTGTTTGTTATTTGAATTATTATGTTTCTTGTTAAACCGAAAGAAAAAAATTCTAAAATTAAATGCACATGTGGTACTAAAAAAACTTCCTTCCTACACCATAGAGTGCCTTAGACGTAAAGGCGTTTTTTATATGAATAAATGAGCAAACATGCCGTCTGCTAAAGGCCTACTATACCAGACAATTTGGATGAAAGATATTAGAAGACACTAAATTATCGATTTTTTTTTTTGGGTTTAAATATTTTGTTAAATAACAATGGTTTGATAGATATGGGCCTGTATTTTTTAAATATTTTAAAAATCCACCTGAATAAAGAATAGACCTAAAAAAAACTTCAGACTTTTAAAAACTTACACTCACTTTGTAAGTATATTATAACACAAAATAACTATGCCTGAATACGAAAATAAAATATTAGTTCATATGCCTAAAAAGTATAAATTATATTTTTTTTTCTTGTGTGGGTTTTTTTCTTGGCATCTTTTTTTTCAAACTACTTTTGTTGTAATAAATAGGCCTACAGCTTTTCTGTGCTTCACTCAGCGATTTTCATTTCAGTCTATCATCCTATAGACTATAGACTCTGACGTTTTTGATAAACCATTGATCTTATATTTTAAGTTTGAAAGGTATTTTAAGAGCCTATGAAGGTCTTTTTAGAAATGTAAACACGTCTACAGTATATTAAAACATGCAGTATTTTAAAAATCGATGTGCTTATTCTTTTAAGTGTTGACAGATATGTTAGAAAATATCATATGTAGGCTTAAAGAGCTTTGTTCTTCTCTAATGGAGATATATTTACTGCGTGCTATAAATAGTTATTTAAGGGTAAATGAATGTCGCAAGGTGGCCCAAACAGTGACTAAGGTATCAGAGTGCTCTCCCCTGTAAAGTTGAGGGGGTGCTCGCCCTTGAGGAGAAGGGAGTGCTATTCGATGCTTAGAATGCTAAAGCTGTTAGTTTGGGCTGGGGTTGTGTGGATTTTTTTTTAAATAAAGCGTGTTTAATTACCTTTCCTGGCTCCACGTCAAAGTTAACAAAGTCCCGGGTAGGAACCCGATCCTCGGCCCGCTCTGACCACGAGTTGGCGGCGAAGGAGAGCTGTAAATTCGTCCCCGTGCTGACAAACGCCTGTGAAAATTGAAGTATTTTTATCATCAATTTGTTGATAACATTATATAATTCGGAACTAAAAGAAAAAAAATATTCGATACAAGTCATACAAGGAGCTTGCTACCCTACACATCATGGTCTCTTGTCGGGCCTGTTGTATTACAACGGCTAAAGAGATTACCATATCTAGGGCTAAGAATACAATTTGGATCAGGATTAGTTTCTTTCAGACATCCCTCCGCACCTCCCTTCCCCCGATGAAAAATGTCCGAAAGAAACCCTAGATATGATAGTGATTATTAGCAATCAGTGTTTCTTCCAGACTTTTTTTCTCCAGGGAGGGGAGTAAATTCTATTTCGTTGGAGTGGGGTGGGGGGTAGACGTTCTTCGGGGGGGGGGGGGGGGCACCGAAGTGATGCCTGAAAGAAACTTTGTTAGTAATACCAACAAAATCAACTTTGGTACACACGGATAGCGTTCATGAGAGTGCCCCATAATTTAACACGCGACAAGGGCAAAATGTTTGAAATTATGTAAGAAACTCACTTCGAAATTAAATTTAGGGGGAAAAAACTTTTTTTTTTTCTTTCCACAAATAATTTTAAAAGAATATTGTGTTTTAATATGAGATGATATTCGATGTATGCTTTATAAAAATGCTTTTCGCGCTTGCTTTTTTTAAATTAAAAAGTATATTAGTGATAGACATAAATATGATATTAACTTCGAAATGTAATGCATGATAAAAATATGGGTTTTTGTTTGTATTTTTAAGAATCTTGTTGTATCGTGTTTAATATGCAGTTCAGTTCAATTTTTTTTTGAGATCTTCGAGTTTCTATTAGACTGGTAGTGGGCGAGGTTTAATTTTTTTTGGTAAAGTTTATGCATTATAGTTATAGTCAACGTGTTATTGCGCCTATGAAAACTTGACGTACAATACTCCACGAATAGGTTGCTATGTCGGCTGCGTGTTTACATAAGATAATCATTAAAGTAGACGTAGTAACCTTACAGGTGACAGAGTATAATCCTTGTCTCGTTTAAAGATGTAGGTCTATAATCTATAAGGCTCTGTCTCATGGCTTAATTAAACTTTGTGTTATTGGCCATTTTAAAATTCTAACTCCGCTTCAGAAAAATTGTATGTGTATTGAACATTATTCAACTTTTTAAAAAATTCTTAGATTATTATATTTTATCATTGAATTTATTTAAATAATTTTCCTCAATCTTTTTACAACCTGCATTATAGACCATTAAATAAGAAATACTATTTATTGGCCTATATTACTTTTATAAATGATTTAGATCTAGATTTATTTTTTATGTAACCTGCTTTGCTTAAAAAATTTTGAAAAATTAAAGAAGCAATTATTATTATCCAGATTTAGTTATGTTTGACCTTAATCAGATAAAAAATAGATTAATTTTTGAAGTAAGATAATTGTCTTACATATAAAATTTCCTTTTTTTTTCTTATTAATTTCTTGAAAATAAACTGATTGGCAATATTCTTGTACTATAACTTTCACTAAATGATTTCCCATTAGAATTTTTTTTTTAAACTATACTAATTCATATTTTTAATTAATGCTTAAATTCCCATCAAATAGGGAAACGTACGTTATATGAAAGCAAGCAATAATAATTAACTGATTCTATTCGAACAGTAGAGTTGTAATTAAAATTGAAAAGAGACCATCCGGCCAGTGGAACGGATACGATGTGTGGACACAGTGAAACGATAACTAGAAATCTAATTAGCTTTTTAACTGCCACTCTCGTTAAAAAGAATCTGTATCATTAGATGCGTAAATTGCTGTTTTATAGGGACCAAGAGACAACACAATACAGAATTACGGACGAAGTAACCTTCCTCGAGATAATAATAGAGTAAATTAAAAGGCTTTTAAGGTCAATTAATTTTTCGTCGAGTTTTGGAGAGAGAAAAAACATAAAATTTACGGTAAGTTCTGAGCCTACGGCCTGGGGGAAATTTTCTATTTTTACTGCGACTGTGTTTTACACCTCCTCAGAATGCCAGAGTCAATCCTGCCACGCCCACGACTAAGCTAATGTGTCAGTCAAGCTTGTGATCGCTTTGTTGATTTTAAGCCCTATAGCCTTTTTTTTTTCATCTTTTTTTTTTCCTTTATAAAGTTAGACTACAACGCTAATCGTTTGTAACTTGATTGACATAACTATTGTGTGTGTAAAATATTTCATTGCTTTGTAGAATTTTTATTAGTAGGATGTAAATTAAAGGATTGCCTATAATAAACGGCGGGGCGTGGTCATTGTGATACCACATTTGCATAAAACTTTTTATCAAGAATAGCATATTTATACAGCGATGACATGAAATCTTATGTCTGTAAAATAACTGATTTATTACTTTCTCGTATATACGAAGTATAGAGAAAGTCTTGTCGTAGCTTGCGACCGCCCCCCCCCCCCCCCCCCAACAAAAAAACACACACACACACAACTTAGTTTTAAAATATTACAGAAAATTGCGGGGTTTATTTTGTTTATTAATTTATTTATTTTTTGTCTCGGTGAAAATCTGGTATAATAAATTCTAAGCGTATAAATAACTATAAAATTAGTCGAAACATTTGGTTTCAATCTAATACGAATACGTTTTGACATATTTAGTTGTTTTTTTTCTTTATCATTTTTTTTTCAATCCGCAAAGCGGTGAACTTCAAAAGAAAAAGAAGCGGAGTTTTCAAGGGACGTAACCTTTAAATTATCTTTATCAGATTTTGTATAAAGAGTTGCATTCATCCGTCTATTGTAAAATACACGAACCAAGTTCGCGTAGTGATGAATATCGGTTAAAATAAGAATGTCTTTTGAATAAAGAATTGTTCAAACCGATTTAAAGAAGTTGTAAAATATAACTAAAAATTAGAAACATAGTAAGCCAAATGAAATACATTAAATTTTTTTCCAAATTTGTTTTTTAAAAAAAAAAAATAATTTTAAAAGAGACATATTTCTAAAAAAAAATTTAATTAAAAAAAAAGGGATTATAGATCTACATTATCACAGTAGATTAAAAAAATTCAATGACACTGCTATTTCAAACGATGTAATTCCAATACCTCTGTTATTTCAATCTCAGGTTATAATATTTATAATTTAATTACATATTTGGCATTATATTTCATCTACAAGCGAGGGTTCAAGTTTTCTACCCGATAACTTAGACACTTCTTTAAAAAAAAAAATTGGGTCTCCATACTTCTCCGTACAAGCAACGTATTTTATGTCAGGCTCATGTTACGGGTTGTCTAGCAGCATTTTTGCCCTTAGTATATCTCTGTACTAGTTAGTGTTGTGATGTTCCCTGTGCCCATAGCCGTTAGGGTAGATGATAAACTACACTGTTGTAACGGCTGTACAGGGTAGTCCTACATAGCTGTGCTGTTCGTACACACCCGTAGTAGTACGGCTTATAGTTAAGTGTTGAACCTAAACTTAGGGGTACGGTTTATAACTAAGTGTTGTACCTAAACTCTACGGCTTATAGCTGAATTGTATACCTAAACTTGAGGTACGGCAGATAGTTAATTGTCGAACCTAAACTCTAGAGCCTAAACTCTACAGCTGAGTGTTGTATCTAAACTTAGGGGTACGGCAATAAGTAAAGTGTGAAAACCTAAACTCTAGTTGCACGGCTTATAGCTAAGTATTGTACCTAAACTTAGGGGTACGGATTTAGCTTAGACTTAGAGTTGTACCCGAACTTAGGGCTACGGCATATAACTAAGTGTTGTACCTAAACTCTAGATGTACGGCTTATAGCTAAGTGTTGTAAGTTGTAACTAGACTAAGGGTACGTTATATAACTAAGTGTAGTACCTAAACTCTAGATGTAGGCCTACGGCTTAGTGAAGTACGGCTAAGTGAAGTACCAAAACGTAGGGCTACGGCATATAACTAATTGTTGTACCTAAACTCTAGATGTACAGCTTATAGCTAAGTGTTGTACCTAAACTAAGGGGTACGGTTTATAGATCTAGCTAAGTGGCAAAATTGCTGTGCTGTACTTGCACTTACTTTAACTTTAGATGTACGGCATATGGCTAAGTATTGTACCTACATCTGTAGGGGTGTGGCTTATAGCTAAGTGTTGTACCTGAATTCTAGAGGTACAGCATATAGCAAAGAGCTCTAATTACCACCGTGCTGGGACGGGATTAGCATATACGTGTTCTAAATTCAGCCGTACGGTAAGGATTACATAAGTGTTGTCCCACAGTCTTAGGGGTAGAGGACAAAACAGCCCAAAACGGAAAAAAAATTGAAAGTTATTACACACCAAAAAGTGTACAAAATAAAGACACGCTATTTGACGAGGGTTGAAATCCCCACATTTGTATAGTTTGCAGACAGATTTTCTGATACGTTTTTATAAAGTTTTTAATAACACTATTTTTTTTAAAAATATTTTGAAGTGTATAAATTAATTGGCCTAATTTTATGTAATAGTTTGATGTAGAAAGAAAGGAAAAAATGTATAAGCTAGAAAAAGAACAAGATCTTTATTTCACTTATTTGACGATTAGTGGGGCCGATGGATAGAGGATTGAGATAAATGTACCCGGTATTTATACACGCTGTTATGTAAGTGTGACCACTGCATATATATATTTGAACACATAATTCGGAGCCCAGGTTTGTACCTTGCGCTGATATCTGTGAATTTTTTAAAATTCTCATAAAGATGCGAAAATTAACATCTTTAAATTTTAGGTAAATGATCGCCGTGTTGGCGTTTTATATCTAAAATTGTTTTGAATCATTTGGGAATCGTGCGGGTCCCAACCATTTTCAAAAACGTTGCAGTTGATGTACAGTTTTCACAAAGGCAGCTGCACGTGGGCTGGGTATCGATATTTATTATCTATCACGGACGAATACGTAGATCTATGTCTCGCTGTAGAAAGCTGTCTTTTTTTTTTAATCGACAAAATTTATTTTACACAAAAAATGTAAAAACTATCATGATAGGTTAGAAACGCTTTTTTTTTAAAATTAGGTAACAATAATTTCGTTTTTAAATTTTCTTTGAAAATTATTTTCGTTGAAATTTTTCTATTTAAACTTGTAATTTTGCTGAAACTATGTTTATGCTGTTGGCACGTGACTTTCTGTTCTAACGGCGCTAATCTGTCATGTAAGTCAATGGGGCCTATCCTCTGTGTTGCTACGGTCCGTTAAACATTCCTTTGTTGCTGCGGATAGATCACAAGCTGCAGAGCAAGATATATCGCTCTATATCGGCGTTTTACTTTCTTCACTTTTAACACATTAGACATCATTTTAAAAAAAAATAAAGCAGAAGGTTTAATAATGTTAGATTAATATCGGTATTAACTGGGACACAATAAAGGCTAAAGTTGCCGGAAAGTTGTAGACTATTGTAGTAAAATCTAATCTAATAGACTTACTGATATTAATTTTTTTTTATGTTGTAAAAATCAAACTTTTAGTATGTCCAGAAAAAAAGTAGACACTTTAATCTATAAGCACATGCTATATTTAAATATATCTAAAAGCGCCCTAATAGGCCTAAGTAATATTAGTGCTAACTGCTGTTCAATCAGTTTTGTCTGAATTTGTAGCCGATTACTCAAAATAAAGCGCGTTACGGCATTCAAAAACACAAGCTTATATTACACGGACTGTATGTTTTAAGTCGAAACGTGTTTTGTTTTTGTATTTTAGTAGGCTTACAGTCCAACCCATATTTAATATTTAACTTTTCAAAAAGGTTAAAAATTCAGTTTTAAAAAATATACACCAACTTACCAAATCTGCGTGTCCTTCTCTACAGTCGGCTTGAAATCTAATTTGTCTTTCATCCATAGGTCTATCACGAAATCCAGTATATCTTACCTAAGATTTAGGAAGGAAAAACAATCATAACTTAAACCGTATCCATCGAATAGAATTTTAAAATATATTCACACGATCACATATTTAACATAACGGTGAAATCGAACCGCGGTTTGAAAACACTCCCTTGGAAATCCCACACACGTTTAAAAAAAAATCAAATTAAATAAAACATTTTATTAATAAGTACAAATCCAACAGCGCTTGAAAATTTACCGTCGAAAAATTTCTTACCTCACTTTCTCTACTTAATTTTCTAAAAAGTTCATCATTTTCAAAGGTAGGCCGCTGGTCGGGTACGACCCGTGGCATAGCGAAAGTAAACTTTTCCTTCAGTTCGCGGTACAATGTGTTCGCTACGAATGACAACATGCTGTCTGGAGAATCTTCATTCATTTTCTACTCCACAATAAAATTCGACTAATCTTAATTTTCATTGGTCGATATTTCGTGATTCTTTGATGTTAGTCGGGAATCTCGGTAGTACTCGGTAACGGAAATAACCTTATATGGGCTATTTACTTCCGAATAACTGGCAACGTCATGTACGAGATTTCGTTAGAAATCGTTCGAGTCGCTTAATATTCATGAGCTTTCCATATAAGGAATATTCCGCCCAGTTCTTAACCGAGGCTGACCTAGTTTCACACGTTGCTGAATCGGGAAAAAAAACGAATTCTCCCCCCTCCTCCACTTTAAAATGCTGCGACGGAAATCCTCATCGCCGCTTATTTTTTCCCCCTCTCCCCTCCGCTTTTTTTTTCTGCACTGCCAGTCTAGGAAACTCCAGTGTCTTGGGATTCCCGCATCGATCAGCTGTGCGGAAAACACCACGCGAGAAGTTCCAAACTTACAAATAAATAGTGAGTGAGAGAGAGTAACGAATAAAGACAACCATTTCAACATAGCTTGTGGATGACCCAAAATATTAAAACATTAGAATTATAAAATAAATTACATATCATCTAGATTCTATGACTTAAACTTTTGAAGAAGGAAAAAAAAACTAACATTGCCCTGTGGGATTTCTCCATGTATACCCGAAACAGTGATTGCTGTTTTTAGTAAATCTGCTCAATATTTTCTCTGTCTTGTCATCTTGAAGAGTATTGATTTTTCTGGCACTGAAAGATTTTCCCACGCATACCTGAAGATTTGTGTCAAATGTTTCCTGCATTGCGCAAATATATTTGTAATTGATTACAAAACGTGAGCAATTATTTTGAGAATGATTTACTCGTGTCAGCATTGTATTTATGAGTTGTTTTTTCTCTTATTCCGATTGACTACATGCAGTTGATTTTAGTTATTCAATTAGTAGAAATATGTTATTAAATAGTTTATGTTGTAGGCCTACATTATAAAGAATAAATCATGTTAATATCGCTCATTATCTTGATAGTATTGGTAGCATCTCATTGATAGCAGATAGGCTTAATCAAAAGGGTATGGCGAGACCTGTGTGGGAGGGTGGGGGCGGTGAGGTGAGTCAGTACTTTATCACAGAATGAATACGAATGGTGGTTTTTTTTTCTTGTTTTTTTAATGATAAATAATTTTGGAAATGCGATTTAAACTAAAACACCTACAGGGCAAATATGTAACACGTTAAATCATCGCTGAAACGATGTTTGCGCATATAAACGTATGTAACCTACATAATATGTGGACTTGCAACACCCTCACAGCATGACTTACCCTTGAAGATAATCACCAACCACCCATCCTACTTTTCTACCGCTATCACCCCACTCCCAAATTAGTTGGCCCAACTATGTGAGAAGTCATGTCTTCATATTGTGTGTATATATATATATATATATATATATATATATATATATATAATCAACTTCAACTGTTAATATTAGTCAATAACAATAGTTATCCATAATAAACATCATAATTCACATAAATCTATTTAGATACTGACAGCAATTAATTTCTATATTTATAAAAAATATAGGCCTATAATTTTCTAAGGCAACTAGGACTATATTCTAAAAGTAGAGCAATGTCTATTTTCTACCAAATGTAAAGAATTTTATTTAAAAATCTGTATTTTAGAATATTACAGCATTTATTTTCATGATTAGACATTTATTTAATTGAGCTAGATTGATATTGAGTGATAATTAACGTAACAATTAGGCCCTTAAGCCTTAATCATAATATTAGCTCTTTCGTTATTGATTAGCTCTATAATAGTAGAGTTAAGATTATTCACTTGTAATGATAAATAGGGCCGCATATTTATTTATTGAATGAAACTTTGAGTTATGGAGATTTGAATATAAATAGGCTCTACTTTCTATTATGGAGTGTCGAAATAGCAAGAAATTAAATGTAGATATGAAAAATTCTAGTATTCAACGTGTAATTGTTTCATTTAATTTTGGTTTTATTTTGAGTAATTCCTACTTCCGTTTTTTCTTTATACTTTTTTTCTTCACTGTCATAAGCAAAACAAAGATGGCGAAAGGATTTATTTGAGTATGTAAACAAAAGAAACCAACTGGATTATATGTATTAATTTTCATCTAAAACAAATTTCTCTCGACTCATGGTTTAACTTAACCAATTAGAAATGCTCGACCTAGAAGTTGTTCCAGAAAGGTCTCTGGGAAACGAGCAATGGGAATTTGTGCTAGGTAATTTAATAAATTTGACTTTTTCGTCATTTTCAAAAATGTAAATCTAACACTTAGCGTGCTTAGGCCTAATGAAATTTTGTTTTATTTATGTCTTAAATATGTTGGTCTATTTATATATAATGTATCAAATGCGGATGTAGATGTATCATGATGTTCAACATTAATTTTGCCTTCTATGATTGTGTAGATCTCTAGGCCTAAACGATTTTTTTAGATAAAAAGAACAAGAACTGTCAAACAAATTTACAAGTGTTTACTGTACTGTAGCTAAAATTTCGCCTCCCTTAGTAACTCACTATGTCTATTTATAATCATCACGTAATCTTATATATCCATACTTGAATTACTTGGATTTGTCAGCTGATTAGGCATTGCAGCAAGGTCAAGGATGAGCTTTAGTAATTTTTTAGTTGACTGGTAGTGGCAGTAGTATTAGTTTAGTTAGTAGGCCTATTATTAAAATTAAAAATAGTAGGCCTAGGCCTATAGGCCCTAACTATAATAGGCCTATTCAGCTTTCAATACTGCCTTATGCACTATACCTATACTATAATTATGACTATAGTTATAATATAGGCCTACTATTGAGTATTAATATTTGATAATCTAAATCTGCAAAGTCTACTGAATGTCTGCATCCTATAGGGCCTATATTATATCAACTGATATTTATCAAGACATTATTAATCTGTACTGAACCCTCTTGGTTCTGTAACCAAGTACTGAGCTTTTGTGATAGTTATCTTTTTACTAATTTTGCTGTAACACAGTGGGAGTATGAATTTAAATAAATTAGTAACATAGTTATTTGCGCTTTTAAAAAAGTAGTAATGCCTGAGGGCTCCCAGTCTTTTATTATCAATAGATCCCTGGCTATCTGTTACACTACTGATTGGGATGGCATTTTTTAGAAGCTGAAAGATTTTTTAAACAATTTATAACAGCTAAAAAGTAAAATTCATTTTGGGAGAAACTGAAAACCAAATGAAAAAGATCAGTAAGCATTTATTTTTAAAGATGCTGCAGATACCTGCTTGTAGCATTTCTTTTAAAATATAAGCTTATATTATTTTTTTTTTTAAATTTAGTTTCAGTTTTAATAGTTAAATTATTTGAATTTGTAATAATTTGTAGCACCCATCCCCTACTCTTTCATGCTATCCAACATTTTTACTGACACCCTCCTCCTCCATTCATCAAATTCAAATTTATCTAGCTCACCATTATCTAGCTCAACTTTTCCCACATAGCATTTATTTTTAAGAATGCTAGTACTAAGGGTGGTGATGCAGAAATGTATGAAAGGTGTGTATGTGGAACAAAATACCCTAAACTTTGTTTGTGTACCCTTAAAACTATTATTTTGTTAGACAGTGTCTAGTCTGGCTAGGTTTGTTGATGTGTATGTTGTTGAACAAGAGAAGCGATTTATTGAGTGACAGTGGGTGTTGTCAGCTGGGGCAAGGAGGTATGTAACGTTGGATCTGGGTGCCAGTCAAATGTTGCAATCAGAATGAGGAAGAGGTGTTGTATTGACATTGTCACTGAGAAATAGTTGATATCAAACCCATTTGATTAGCCTTAACCTCAACGACTTGCGTCTGAATGAAACAGGCTCTCACATGTGCAATGTTTACCAAATGTTTTTATTCAAATCAATTGGAACCAATGTTAGTCATACATTGTGTTTTATAGGTCACAATAGGTGATGAATAAAACTTAAGACATAGTATACTATTAGTCAGAAAATAATTTTTATTTATAACATAACAACTTAACAACACTTATTACAGTGTTGTTAAATTTGTGTAGTGTCTGTTGTTGGTAGTTAGTAAAAAAAATGTTATAGTTATGGCTAGGCTAGTATCTTGATTTTCATTACTAATATTAAGTTAATGTTTTCTAATAACCACCTATTTCTTGCAGCTTTTTACAAGCTTTTATTTAACTTGCTTCCTCTGTCTGCCTTTCGCCATGGATCAAAAGGGGGGGTGGGGTGGGGGGGGCAAAACTGTCATATTCATTTCAAATTTGGCACCATGTGGGTCAAGACTTGATGACAATGCAATCTCACATCAAATTTTACTTAATTGGATGACTAATTAATTTTTTATGGATTAATTAAAATTTCCTGAAATTAGTAGGTTGTCTCACTACTACTGCTCCGCACTATTATATGCGCATTGTCATGTTCATTTGGTGCACAATTGTTTTTTGTAATACAACTCTGTTTTATTAAAGATGTTAAAGTACTGAAAAAAGTGCATAAAAGGCGTTTTAATAACAAGCTTTTATATAATAATGCACTTAATAGGAGAAAATAAACGGGTCACTATATTATCTATTGGATACCTTTACTAATATTTAGGAAGGTACTCACGCTTTTCTGCATAGTTATTTAAATTTAAATAGTAGTATATTATCATATATTTAAAGAAAATCATTTACTTTCCCCTTTTTAGTGCATTATTACATAAAAGCTTGTTAATAAAATGTTTTTAATGCAATTTTTTGTTTGTTCAAGCTATGGCCATATTTTCTGAAAATAATAAAATAGTCAATTGTTGTGTAATAGATCTTTCCCCTGTATTGCATTTGTTCTGCTCTGTGTGTCTGTTCTTCTCTGCAAAGAAAGGTTACTTGTTATACACAATTGTAGTTTTACAGGTTTTCTATGATTTAACATAAAAACACATTCAAATGCTTTAATTAAAAACAATTTTGAGGAATTTCGTCCATGTGTGTATATTTACATAACAATTTTTAGTTATCCAAAACATCTTTTCAAGATGTATAGACTCAATCAATAGGTTGCAGAGGTTATAGAGGACATTGTTTCCACTGCCTTATTATATCATTATGATTCAATATAATTGTATGGCAAGTGTTAAGCCCAAAAACTGCCCCCAAAATATGCCAGGTACACATCAGATCTGGGTTGACCCTGGGATATCATATACAGTCAAGCTGAAGACAGTGTTAAAAATCAAATCCTTTGTGTTTTTTATTGTGTGCCACATGTCCACACCATTACACATTTTCTGATTGAACTGTATGAAATAAAAATTTCCTCTGTTGTTGTTTTTATCAGGGATGCCCTTTTACCAGGCAGTGAACATCCTTAGGAGACAGGATTCATCTATAAAAGGTGTTCAAGTATGGTACAGTGATCAGGTCAGTGAACTATCAAATTGTTTTGTTGCCAAAAATAAATAGTCTAGTGTGGAAGAGTTATTTTTTAAATCTGTATTGATTTATTTGGTACAGTTGCAAATGTTTAGATATATGAACCTTGTAGTCCTCACGAATTTTTTATTTTATTATTGAAATAGATGAAACTGTTCTTTATTTTAGAATAATTTTAGATATTTTGCATCTAGAAAATATGACAGATGCTACTAAGTTACTGCATAGTGTCGTTTATTATTTGTATAGAACAACTTTGCAACATTTCAATTGTCTCAAAATATTTCTTTTGGTTAAAAAAGTATGGTAAATAAACAAAAACTTCTGGCAAGCACTCACTGCTGCACTTTTAGCTGTATTAAACAAAAATCAATTCTAACACACCATATGTCACACAAAACGTCAACAACTACAATGGACATACTTGTGTTGAAATAATTAAACTACTTTTACAATTACTTGTGTTTAAAAATAAAAAATCAATTTGCTTTACTGAATTTGGAAAACTTGACAACTGTAAATTAAGAAATTTTTTATTTTATTTCTTAATTTACAGATGCCAATTTTTTATGTCAAATATGCAGTGTAAAAATAGTGGTATGATGATTGTTAGGGCAGACAGAACCTGTATATGTACAACAAAGTATCCTGTCAGATCAGAATGTTCATAGATGAAGTAGAGTTCATGTTTCTCTTATTTCTGCTGGCTATTGGAATGTCTGCTTCGCTGCATGTACTGTCCCCAGCATGTCAGGTGGTCTGGGATGACCCAATGACCCCACAGTTGCTAACACATTTAACTTAAGACTTTTCAGGAAGTAATCATGCATTTTAACTCTCATAAACATATGAGGCTCTTTTTATTTATATTATGTAAGAATGTATTGCTGTTAAAAGAGTGCTCTGAGTCTAGCCCACATCTGGTATTTGGTTTAGTTTCAAAATGTTTTTTTTTCTATGTACCTGCTTAACTTTTTTTAACAGAAGGAAACTTCAACAGTACTCTACTCTAATTGTAATATTCTGTCATTTAGTTTCTCAGGCAGGATTACAATTTAATCCATAACCCACTTCCAGTTCGGAAGAGATATTTTAAAATATGTTTTTAAAATAAATTTCTAACAGTTGCCATGTTAAACTCAAGTGTAACATCGAAGCATCACATGTGACAGTGTTAGATTGTACTATTAATAAAACCCACTTTCTCCACAGTGCCCCCTTCAAATGGATTTAGTGCTCAATTTATCTCAAGATGGGATTAAACTAATCTTTGATCCTGTTTCTCAGAGATTGAAAGTGAGTACCCTGTAGCATTCCTCTAAGCCTAGTTTTGCTCATAACTAAACCTCTGATCCTGTAATGTTTATTTTGGGTTAATCTTCTTACATGTATACCTAACTTGCAAGCTTACACATTCATTAAGCATGTTTGTATGTGGTGGCATAACTCACTGCCTAACCTGTTTACTCCCATTATGAGCCACAATGCTGAGTGTACACAATTTCTGGGGTTTCCCAATGTGAGAAGTCCAACTCTCCTAGTCACAAGGTTTTCTTACAACATTGTTTATTTCAAGCATAACATTGTTGATATGGCTACATTTCTTTAAACTCAAGACAGTGTGGCTATTTTGGGGCACAATATATATATATATATATATATATATATATATATATATATATATATATATATATATATATATATATATATATATATATATATATATATATATATATATATATATAAAAGTTTTATATATAACTTGAAAAGTTTTCATAAATAAATTATTACCTTGACCAAGGTAGATGTATAAAGTAACATTTACTACAGCTGCTATATCTTACAAATTAGTTTCTTTGCAAGTAATTTTATCATGGTGTTGGTGTACAGAAATAAAAGAAAGTTTGAAAATCTAGTTTTACAAAGTTCCACTAGCACATAAGATGCCCCGATGGTATCAATTAGCATCAACTATTTATACGAAGGAATTATTTAAAATGCACTGTAGGCAAGTTGCTGGGTGCCAAAAAAATATGTTTTGTCATTTTTCTAAGGCATCCCCCACTCCTAAAATAAAATATGCCGTATTTCTAATACTTACATAATTATTGTTTTATTACATTCTAAGTAAATTAATTTAATAGTTTATCACATTTCTTTATCAGCCCCCTTTCTCCCACAACACACATAACATCAATGACAGTCTATACCTTTTTCTGCTATCTTTACGTGTACTCACAAAAGACCACACCCACCAACCAGAAATTACCGTTAGTCTCACGCCCCTCCCCCCTACAACAACGTTAAGTCAAATAAATGTCAGTGTTTTTGTTCTCTGCTATTCAAAATGTATCCTCCCTCACCTCCAAGCCTTCCCACACCTTCATCAACGTCTATCCAGAACCCCTACCCAGCGTGATGGGACTGACGTCATTAATGGAGCACCGTAACGTAATGAACAATGCAACTCTGGTTCTATTGTGGCCTTTCTACCACCTTGCACGTGTCCTGTGTCCTTATTGTGTTCATGGCATCACTATCACCATTGAGTGCATGTCTTATCGTCTCAATCTCAGACCTTCTGACTTCTTTTTTTATCCGTGTTTTTAATTAACATAGATTTTGATTACGTGTTTCTGATATGATACATTTTGCGATGACGAGAAGTGTACATCGATGTTTAAAAAACGTGTTTTATGTTTGTAGTAGTATAAAATCTTAGGAATCAAGCTTTTGTGTGTGTGTTGGGGGGGGGGGGGTCTTAAGCTTGTTGTATCATTGTATCTATGCATAGGTTTGTTTAAATAGCAAGTCTGCAATGAGCGCCGGGATGTGTATCAACGGTGCCAAATATCTGGCACTAATTGTGTCAGGAATCAGGTGGTAAATAAAGCAGGGAAACTAGGCCGAACAGGTTCTAGACCGGCCTGAACGGTGAACGATCCGTCATTTGATCGGGGCACGATTCACGTCTGCCCGCCTCCCACTCTCCCCCCCCCCCCCCCCACTTGTACCCGGATCACGTGCCCTGGGTGCACGGGTCACGTGGCAAGGACGGGGTTAAAGTGCTGACCCGTCGTCTTAAGACGGCCGTGACTCGGGGCCCTGGCACCGTGCGAAGGAAGCGAAACGACATGGAGCTTTAATTCACTGATCAATTAGGCCGGGGCGTCAGTATGGTAGTGTGCTTGTTGACAGAGGGGCGGGGACCTCTGGTCACCCCAGTGGTACTAGGGAACCCCTGGTCACACCCCCCCCCCCCCCCTATTTTTTCGTTACAAGGGAATCCATGCCCCCCCCCCCCCCCACACACACACATACACATAACACCGTATGTTACCAAGAAACCTTTGGTCACCCCAGTTGTGCCAGTAAACCTATCCCCCCCCCCTCCCCTTTGGTAAGGGAACCTTTGGTCACTAAAATTTCCATCTAAGGAGCATAAGCTCTTGTGTAATTTGTATGTAAGCGTGGTGCACTTAAAAGAATATTTGCATTTTACAAAATGACTGCGCATCACCCCTCCCCAAAGTAACTAGGAAAGTTCGAGTCACCCCTCCCCAATGTTACCCGACAACTTCAAGTCACCCCTCCCCAATATTACTAGGGAACTTTGAGTCACCCCTCCAATGTTACCAGAGAACTTCGAGTCACCCCTCCCCAATGTTACTAGGGAACTTCGAGTCACCCCTCGAATGTTACCAGAGAACTTCGAGTCACCCATCCCCAATGTTACTAGGGAACTTCGAGTCACCCCTCCCCAATGTTACCAGAGAACTTCGAGTCACCCCGCCCCAATGTTACTAGGGAACTTCGAGTCACCCCTCCCCAATGTTACCAGAGAACTTCGAGTCACCCCTCCCCAATGTTACTAGGGAACTTCGAGTCACCCCTCCCCAATGTTACTAGGGAACTTCGAGTCACCCCTCCCCAATGTTACCAGAGAACTTCGAGTCACCCCTCCCCAATGTTACTAGGGAACTTCGAGTCACTCCTCCCCAATGTTACTAGGGAACTTCGAGTCAACCCTCCCCAATGTTACTAGGGAACTTCGGGTCACCCCTCCCCAATGTTACAAGAGAATATCGAGTCACCCCTCCCCAATGTTACTAGGGAACTTCGAGTCACCCCTCCCCAATGTTTCAAGAGAACATCGAGTCACCCCTCCCCAATGTTACTAGAGAACTTCGAGTCACCCCTCCCCAATATTACTAGGGAACTTCGAGTCATCCCCCCTCCCCGAATGTTACCAGAGAACTTCGAGTCACTCCTCCCCAATGTTACCCGAGAACTTTGAGTCACCCCTCCCCAATGTTACTAGGGAACTTCGAGTCACCCCTCCCAATGTTACTAGGGAACTTCGAGTCACCCTTTCCCCAATGTTACTAGGGAACTTCGGGTCACCCCGCCCCAATGTTATTAGGGAACTTCGAGCCACTCCTCCCCAATGTTACTAGGGAACTTCGAGTCACCCCTCCCCAATGTTACTAGGGAACTTCGAGTCACCCCTCCCCAATGTTACTAGGGAACTTCGAGTCACCCCTCCCCAATGTTACCAGAGAACCCCCGGCCACCTCCCCTCCCCCGTATATTACCAGAAAACATGTTAACACTCTTGACCACCCCTATATTACCTCTCACAATACAAATGTCCCAGAAAAACCTCTGTCCATCCCAGTAAGATTCCATGAGCCGTCCATATTTTAACCTTTAATCACAACACCTAGTTAAAATGTGACATGAAATAATACAATTGTCACTGTTCACCTTCCCGTGACTCCCGTCTTATACTCATTCCCTAATGAAAGCCCCGTTTTCCAGTTCTAAAAATGTTTCCACATAAATCACGTAAAATATCTGGGGTAGAAGAGGTCAGTATCTTTGTCTCTTTTTTTATCCCTTTTTTTTTAATACTGGCTCGTTCAGGCAAATGACGCCATGTTGTCTGGAATCTGATTGGCTGGCGTGGACGTGGAGCATGACTGATGCAAACCTGCTAGTCGGAGTTACATGGCTGATTAGCTGCAGGGGAGGCAGGGCTAGGCGGGGGATGATCAAATCAAACAAACTCGAATACAAATGTGACACTTAGCCACGGTCATCTAACTAGTGAAATATGATACCCATTCTTCCCAGTTCTCTTCACACTTTTTTTCGCCACTCCGCCCTCGTGCTTGCCTCCCCCTATTCGTCTCATGCTTTTGTTTACCGGCCCTGACACATCTTTCAAAAGGCGCCGAGAGCGGGGTAAAGTTGAAACAGATCATAGAAACGGAATACATCTTTTAGCTAGTGCTGTTGGGACTTGAAAATTAATGGGGAGAAGAAAAAAACTTAATTTGGAGTCTGAGAGTCATTAGAATCTGACTCCAATTTATTTTTTTCACGTTTAAATTTTTTTTTTTTTTTTTTTGAGAAATGTATATTAGTTATGGATAACAAACTATGGAAAATAAGTCACACACATTTAGACATCGATGAGTACTTGATTTTCTATTGACAATATAAAAGCATCAAGGTGTCAACGGAATCCGTGATTTAAATATCCCTTTCACCGAACAGTTAAAGCATGATTTAAAAATGGTTCCAAAATAAAGACGTCCACAAAATTTGTCGTTAAAAAGAAGTGGAGAATATGCAGCCAAGTTAACCCCGGCGCCTAAAACGTTGACCCAAAGGGCCGAAATGGTTTAATCATAAAGGGATCCAGGGTAGGCCTGTCTAATAACAATTTTATGGTCTAATATTTAAGACATTTTTACTTTGATGGAAACGGTGTCAGATGCAGTACTTGGTAATGGATGAAACTCGATTGCAAAACTTAGCAAAAGATATTGGATTGAAAACATTTTTTAAAATAGTTCACTTCTTGATACAATTCTTCTCCAATTACCATTTTCTTGTTCTTTTTTTTTCTTGTTTTTTTTTTGTTTTTTTTTTTTGAGACAATAAAATGGACACGTCAATTTTAACAGTCTTTTAAAAAAGTCAAAGAGCTTTTCTAAAAGATACGACCCGTGTCATTAAACTGTTCTCACCCTCATGGAAACCACTGCTCAACCCCGCTTCCAGTTTCTGCACATTTAGGTGAGCTGTCACCACCTTGATTCACTCACCGCACGGGCACCCACCCACCCGTGACGGCATTGGGGTCAGCGGGTGCCGTGTCCCGTATCCATTTGTTCACCCGACAAGTCAGAGATAGATGGCACTGCCGGAGGTCGCTGGTCTGGAAGCGTAGATACAATAGATCCAACGCTTAACGGTTACATGGTTTTAGTAGATCACTTTACAAAAGAAAAAAAAAAATTTCCCCAGCTCTGATGAAGACATGATGTCGCAGCCGATGAACTGTTTCGCATCTGTCCCGCATTTTGTCTGACCCGCAAACACGAATGTGTTTTAATTGATGGAGCGAGGATTAATTTTGTTTCCTCCCCAAGAGGGCGATTTATTGCGGGGGAGGGGTGTTGAGTACGGTTGTGTGATTAGACATGGCGGACCGTTTGACCAGTGTGGTAGTGTCAACACTAACTGCCGTTGTAGGTGGCGTTTGGTTCGTTCTGTCCACCCGGGGAAGGTTGATGCATTGGTTTGATCGCGAGGACGTGTCAGCCAGTTGGTTGGCCGCTAGCTTTGTCGTGGTGTAATTGTGTTGGTCGGTAACTTTTGTATGGTGTGTGGTGTTGTAACTTTGTTGGCCGCTAGCTTTGTGGTGTTGTAATTGTGTTGGTCATTAGTTTTTTGTATGGTGTGTGGTGTTGTAACTTTGTTGGCCGTTAGTTTTTGTATGGTGTTGTAATTGTGTTGGCCGATAACTTTTGTACGGTGTGTTGTGTGGTAATTATGTTGGCCGTTAGTTTTTGTATGGTGTTGTAATTGTGTTGGCCGATAACTTTTGTACGGTGTGTTGTGTGGTAATTATGTTGGCCGCTAGCTTTGTGGTGTTGTAATGTTGTTGGTCGATAACTTTTTATGGTGTGTGGTGTGGTAATTTTGTGGGCCATTAGTTTTTATATGGTATGTGGTGTTGTAACTTTGTTCAGGGTTCCCGCGGCCTCCTGAAATTCCAGGATGTCCTGGAATTCTCCTGGAATTTGAAAAAAAACCCAAAAGTCCTGGAATTCTCCTGGAAATTCAAAATTTCAGGAAATTTCTCCTGAAATTTTGAAAAATCTCCTGGAATTTTCGCGCGTAACAAATTTTTCGTGAATTTGCGTGCATTTTCGGTATTTTGTTTACGCCGCCGCTTAGAGTTTCCGTTTCCGTTTTTTTAATTCTGCGCACATCGGATGTTGGTTTAAAACTAGATTTAGCCTTGGTCTATATAACGGTCCGTCTGGCGGGATCTTCGATTATTCAAGTGTCAGCTCTTGAGTTTGATTCTTCGGATGTTCATTCATAGATCTATTTCATTTTTACTGCGTCACTGTGAGAAATTTCTCGATTTCAGTTGTGAACTATTGTGTTTTCATTTCAATTTAACATTTCATTATGCCGAAATATACCACTTCGTTCAAACCTGCATGGTTAGAGAACGATTTGTATAAATCATGGCTACAACAAACCTCAGCAACCAAGGCATATTGTCGGTTATGTGCCAAATCGATAGACGTTTGTAATATGGGAGAGGCAGCAATCAAATCGCATATGAAATCAAGCAAGCATGTACAGCTTGATAATAAGTCTTCTGGTTGCATGACTGTTGCCTCTCTGTTCAAGAAAGCTGTTGTGCCTACTGTAACCCCTTCACCATCGGCAGCCGCAGCATCCCAGCTTGAAGTTACAGCTGTAGCTGAAAAGTCATCATTACCCTGTCCTGGTCCATCAACTTCGAAGTTGCCACAGGCTCAAACCACAATGAAAACTCATGTCACCAGTGAGCAAACATTGTCGGCTGAGATTTTATGGGCCTTAAAAGCAGTATGTTCTCATTATTCATTTAACAGCTGTGCAGACATTTCTAGCCATTTTTATCGAATGTTTCCGGATAGTGAAATTGCTAAGAAGCTTTCCTGTGGGCCGGATAAAATGGCATACATGGTGTCTTTTGGACTTGGGCCATATTTTCATGAGTTGCTGAAGGCCAAACTTAAAAGTTTAGATGATGGTTTCATCCTTTTGTTTGACGAGGCCCTCAATCGGGAGCTCAGCAAGAAACATATGGACATACACGTTAGACATTGGGATGATGACAAGGTAAATAACTATTTTTAATAATTTTTTTATATCAATAGTTATACATAACATTGCAATGCAATTTAAAAATATAGATCTAATTTTAAAAATTGCATAACAAAATAGTGTATTTAACATTTTAGGTCATTACAAGGTATTATGGGTCTGCCTTCCAGGGACATGCAACAGCTCAAGATATGTTTCAAAAAATAACAAGTCTTTTTGACTTTGACCAGAGCAAAGTTGTTCAATTCTCCATGGATGGACCCAATGTCAACTGGGCTTTACTGAAACTGCTCTCGGCTGAGTTAAAACATGTTTCTGCAAGAGGTTTTATCGACATTGGTAGTTGTGGTCTGCACACCATACACAATGCCTTTCGTTCTGGGCTTGTGGCATCTAAATGGGAGTTAAGTCACTTCTTCTCCTCTCTCTCATGGTTGTTTAAAGATACTCCGGCACGCCGTGAAGACTACACAAGACTCACTGGTAGCAGCGATTTCCCCCTGGATCATTGCCCACATCGCTGGGTGGAGAATGTTATGGTAGCAGAGAGGGCATTAAAAGTTTGGCCACACGTCAAGCAATTTATAAAATCCCTTTTGGCAGAAAAAAAAGCACCAAACACCAAGTCTTTTGAATTTTTGCAGAATTGTTTGAATGACCATTTTTTAACTGCAAGGATTGAGTGTTTTATTTCAATTGCCAAGACTTTGCAGCCATTCCTTAAAAAATTTCAAAGCGATGCCCCCATGCTGCCATTCATGGCACATGAGCTTTTTAACCTTTTGCGATCCCTGCTTCAGAGGTTTGTTGCACCAGAAGTTTTCAAGAAAGAATGCTCATCAGTTGCAACACTGCTGTGTTTAGACGTGTCAACAACAAAAAATCTTTTACCACCGTCTGATGTTGACATTGGTTTCAAATCCAAAGCTGCAGTCAAAGAAATTAAAACTAAAGTGAGCCAAAGGGATATTTTCCAATTCCAGATGGAAAGCAGGGATTTTTTAAAAGCAGTTGTGACAAAGATTATAGACAAAACACCCATTAAGAACAAGATTGTTCAGAATTTGGATTGGCTGCAACCCAAATGTATTGTTAATGATTGTCAAGCTTGTGTCAAGCAGTTAGAAAATGTAATGTCCTGCTTGGTTTCAATTGGTAGGATCAACCCAGACCACTGCGACAATATTAAGATGCAGTTCCTGCAGTGGCAGTGCAGCATTAGTGCTTCCTATTCTAGCATATTTTCCTCCTTTTGTTGCAGCACCGATCGCCTTGACACCTTTTTTTCCCAATATATGGGGCACAACGAAGATTATTCTTTGCTCTGGTCATTAGCACGCACACTACTGATGCTGTCACATGGCCAGGCCACAGTGGAGCGAGGCTTCAGCGTGAATAAGGAAGTCATGCTGGTGAACATGCATGAAAAAACTGTGGTGGCCAAGAGACTGATTTGCGACCATGTTGCCAGTGTAGGGGGATTGTCAAATGTCAGCATCAGTAGTGGGCTGCTCATTGCAGCTGCAGGTGCCAGGACGAAATATCGTTTGTTTTTGGAAGAAAAGGCAGAGCTGGAGAAACAGAAGTCTAATAAACAAAAGAGGGATGACAGCCAACAGGAGCTGGATGGGTTGAAGACGAAAAAAGCCAGGTTGGAGAAAGACATTAGCAGCCTGACTGAATCTGCTGATAAATTGGCTGAAAAGGCTGAAAATACAAACAGCCACAAGTTTCTTATTGAGTCTAATGCCATGCGTCGGGCTGCCAAAAGCAAGAATGAGCAACTGGCAGCTATTACTTTAGAAATACAATCTAAAGTGATAGAAATTGGCAGCTTGTAATGTGCAAACATTCAGTCTGTATATATGTAAATAACTCTATAAATAAATGTATATAAATCAGTGCATAAAAGCTCTCAAGTATTTCCTGTCTTAATTTGGTGAGTACGCTGAATATTTTTAGTTTGTAATAAATTATTATTATTTTATAAAAAAAAATTTACATAGTTTTATGCATTATTATATGTCCTGGAATTTTTTGATTCCTCCTGGAAAACTCCTGGAATTCTCCTGGAATTTGAAATTGACTTTGGTGTAGGAACCCTGTTTGTTGGCCGCTAGCTTTGTGGTGTTGTAACTGTGTTGGCCGTTAGTTTTTGTATGGTGTGGGGTGTTGTAATGTGTGTTCGTCACTAGCTTTTGGGTAATTTCTGCGGACCGCTTGTTTTTATAAGTATTCATTTCGTTTACAATGTCTGCTTGATGGTGGGTTTAGGGCGAATCCTGTAACTCAATTTTGACCCCCTTCTAATGCAGCGATTTCGTTCAAACTTTCCAGATAGGTCAGTCTCCAATAACATTGCCAGAATATCTCATTTGTGTTTTTAATCTAATTAAACGTTAGATTAGTCTTAAAAATCTAATTAAAAGACTGCTAATTTAAAAAATAAAGGGAGATATAAATATATTACTTACTAGCGATTGAGTTTGCAAAATACGATTGCTTGGTGAGCAATCCGATGAGGGTGAACTGTTTTTTTTTCACGGCTGGTCCTTTTTTGTTTTTTTTACTTTCTCGTATACGAATTATAGAGGAAGTATTGTAATCGTGCAAAAAATCGAAATCGAAATTTTCACAAATCTCGACGTTTTACACCTCCATGAGTCGAAAAACATAGTTTTGCCATGTTGTTCGTATTTCTCTGTGTGTCTGTCTATTTGTCTGTGAACACGATAACTTGAGTACCGTTTCAGCTAGTTGAAAAAAATGTCATTTATAAGTATTATATAAAATGTGTAGTTCATATCAACTTTTCAGCAATTTCCGGTAACGGAAGTGGAACTTATTCTACTTATGGTTTTTCAAAAGCCTATAACATGAGTACTGTTTCAGATAGATAGACGAAATTTGACATGTATGTAAAAGATCTAATTTCTCTGCCTTCATCAAATTTTGAGTAATTTCCGTTTACTGGAAGTAGTACTTTACACTATTTCCGATTTCTCAAAAAACGCATATTAATTTATAAAGTACTAATATTCCGCACTATTATACACACATTGTTTGCTGTTCAGATAATAAAAAGTGGAAAATAAAACAAGCATATAAAAAAAATTAAACAATTTCTTTTTAAAAAAACCTTTATAATAATAACCATTAATGGACTAAAAATCTAATATATAAAGCTCAGTTTTGTATGTAACGCATATGTTTGTCGTTGGTCTTGGATGAATTTAAGTGTTAGAAAATTATCGTGCGCATTTGTCTAAATTTATGAGCTAAAAAATTACTATTGAAAGTGTTGGGAAATAATTTTCATTTTTCAAATTATAGTAATAATTGTCGCCATGTTCATTAAACACAAGTTTAAAAAAAATATCATCTTTTACAAAAATTCTAATTATGTCTTTATTTAGTCCTATAGCACTTACTTCCCTTTGATAAATTAGGAAAACAAAATTATTCCCTTTTATAAAACCATTGCATTTTGTGGAAAATAATTTACTTTTTAATTACTTTGTTTTGGTGTTGGGAAAAAAAAATAATTACATAATTAGCGGGGATTGATCAAGTGCAAATGTTGTAGGTATTTTACGGATAGGCTTGGAGTATTAAAATTGTTCATTAAATTGAAACAGGCGCGTTCGTTTAAGTGAGTGCAAAAGACTATGAATAAGTTGGGGTACTATAGTCGTTCATTAAGCTAAAACAGGTGATTCCGCCCCGGGCGTTTATGTTCGCGTTAGTGTTTTCTTTGTGTTTAGGTGGGTTTGCGTTAGTGGTTGCGTTTTGATTTGGTTCGTTTTTGTTCTTTCTTTTTTCGTTTTTGTTTGTGTTTTTTTGTTTGGGTTTGTATTTGTGTTTTTGGTTGGTTTTGCGTTTGGATTTGGTTTGTTTTCGTTTGCTTTTTCGTTGTTTTTTTTGTGTGTTGGTATTGGTGTTTGTGGTTGGGTTTGTTGTTAGGTTTTTGTTTTCGTTTGCTTTTTTGTTTGTTTTTTCTTTGTGTTTGTATTGGTGTTTGTGGTTGTGGTTGGGTTTGTTGTTAGGTTTTTGTTTTCGTTTGTATTTGTAATTGTGTTAGCGTTATGTTTGCGTTTTGTTGTTTTGGTTTTGGTTGGTTGTGGTTTGGGTGGGCAATGCCGGGTTTATGATGATTACTAAACACACAGGTGATGGTCTTTAACAGAAAGGTTTTTCACAGAAGCCAGAGCAGGGCCTGGCCGGGACGGCTAGTGAGAAAATAAAACTAATTTGCTTTATTTAATAAAACATTGATGGCTCATAAAATCTCTGACTCATTTTTTGCGACCATGTTTTTTTTCCATAGGTCAACTATGTAGGGTACATGACTTTTCTTAGGTCAACTATATAGGTTACACGACTTATATTTATTTTATAAAGCCACATCTGTTATTGCATACTGTCAAATTGGCTCTAAAAGCCAGTTGGTTAGCTAACCAGCCAGATGTGTGGGTTGGTGCGGTAGAGCGGCTGAGCAGGTAGCGTGGAATACGCCATCCAGATTGGGCAATGCGTCAGGTAATATGGGGGAGTACGTTGGCCATTTCGTATAATGGACCGGCAATGAAGGATGTCCATGTGCCGACGCACGTGCCGGGCGGCGCGCCCCCCTACTTGGCGCGCGTGCACAGACGGCCATATCGCCCTCTTGTAAACGAAATTCGTCGAAGGTGCAGCACAATTGTAATGTATTAGCATATCTCCAAGCTAACTGTTTTCTTTTACTTCCAACCCTCGTGTTCTTCGATGGCACTTTGTCGTTTTTTTATAAGGAGCGTTTCTTCAACCCTCACGTCTGTCGGCCGTCGGCCATGTCAAACTCTGGCCATCGTATTTTTTTTTATTCTTGATGTTCTCACTGCTAACGCGGCCCGCCCTGACAGCAATGTTGAACGGACCTATTGTCGATACTTCTCTATCAAGGGGATATCACTAGCATGAAGTGTCCTTGATCGTCTTGTACCGCCAGAGTAATCTCCCGTGTTGGAGAACTCGTTTTTTTTTCTCTCTCTCCTTCTTGATCACACCCCTCTGACAGATGGCATGAGAGTAGGCTCGAGCACCAAAAAAAGAATTGTACTAATCCGATTGTTGAGAAGTTTCATTGGCCGAGCCACGGGACGCCCATTGTTTCAGATGGTCATCTCGAGGGCTTAAAAAACGTCTTTTCGGCCGAAGGAAAGCGATACATACAGAGCTGTATTTGTTCTGGACACAAGGGGAGAAAATGGGGTTTGATGTGTGTTGCCTGACCCCGGCCGGACATGCTTTCTTGACCCGCGCACGCGAATGCAGATCCCGATAATTAGCAAAAATATGGAGGCGGCCGGGTCACGTCCTCGGGACCTCGTGACCTTGATTGACTGGAGCATGATCAATCGCGACGCTGATTTACTCCGATTATATTTTTTTCACAGACCTCGGCGGTGTTTTTGTGGATCTGACATTTCGAAACAAGTTGGGCCGGATTCCGTGTTATTTGCTACACGCAAACATTAACTTTTATTAAGTTTATTTAAGGTCTAGTTTTATTTGCTATACACAAACATTAGCTTTGTAAAGTTTATGTAATGTCTAGTTTTATTTGCTACACGCAAACATTAACTTTTGTAAAGTTTATTTAATGTCTAGTTTTATTTGCTACACGCGAACATTAACTTTTATAAAGTTTATTTAATGTCTAGTTTTATATGCTACACGCAAACATTAACTTTTATAAAGTTTATTTAATGTCTAGTTTTATTTGCTACACGCAAACATTAACTTTTATAAAGTTTATTTAATGTCTAGTTCCCCGAGTGACATTGTCTTTCTTTGTCATGGGCAGCCTGTGACGTCTATGCTATAAATAAATAATGAAATAACGCCGCCCATATTCACAATAGCCATACCAATTTTCTGCCCACTGACCAATTTAATAATACAAAAATCAGCGCTTAGCCACCCCCTCCATGCTACTTTTACATAAGGGCACATCTAGAACTAAAAGTATTACTCTTTGCGCAAGCGTTTTGATATATATGTATATATATATATATATATATATATATATATATATATATATATATATATATATATATATATATATATATATATATATGTATGTATATGTATGTATATATGTATATATGTATATATATATGTATATATGTATATATATGTGTGTATATGTGTGTATATATGTGTATATATGTGTGTATATATATGTATATATATGTATATATGTATATATATGTATATATATGTATATATATATATATGTATATATATATATATATATATATATATATATATATATATATATATATATATATATATATATATATTATTTATTTATTTAAATACTTATGAAACCTTCTCGATACAAACCAAATCCATCACTAAAATGTCAACCATTGTTTAAATGGAATTGTTTGACGTTGATGTATTGGATGGTTTACTGTCAACTATCCCACCCTCCCCCGCCCATGTCCTTATGTTTTCATCCCCCTCCCATATCGTTAAGCCGAATGTCGTGAGGTCCAGCTTGTTGTGTTCCATGTTTTTTATACCCCTTCGTCTTTCCTATGTTAATGAATGGGCCGGCATCAAAGGTCAGGCTCGCGCCGTCTTTAGCCTGGGCAGCGAGGCGTGCAGTGGGTGGGGACGTGGGGTGGGGGGGGGTGGCACATGTCAGCAATTAGCGCCATCAAACACTGTGCAAACACCGCCTCACGCCCCTCCTGTCACAGATGGTCACTTGTCGTGCTGGGGCCATAAGGGGGGGGGGGGGGCGGGCTGGACACTGGGGGAGAGGGGGGATATTTTTTTTTGTATTGTAGATCTATGTAGACAAGCCCCCGGCATCTGGGGGCACCCTGGTATACAGATGGCTTATGGTGTTTGGATATATATTTATCCCCACATTTGTGTCAGGGGTTGTTTTTTTGTTTTGTGTGTCGCCCTGTACCGCAGTGAAGGAAAATGTTGACAGGTATATTGATACACGACACTAATCGAATGATAGCCCGCCACCTTGGGCCTAACTATACAACAGTGGTTCTTAACCTGGGTTCGATCGAACCCCCCGGGGGTTCGGTAAGTCAGTCTCAGGGGTTCGGTGGAGGTCAAGACACACACCCGACTCATAAGATTCATGATTGGAGTTTTTAGTGCGGACGCTTTGAACTATTAAGAAGGGTTCGGTGAATCTGCATGTGAATCTGGCGGGGTTCGGTGCCTCCAAAAAGGTTAAGAACCACTGCTATACAACCTGAAAGTAAAAGTAGTTTCCCCTTTGGACCTGAGTTATCCACGGGGAAGATGAAGTAGAGTTCTTCTGTTTCTGTGAATCAGGGAAAAGATTGGGTTACTGTGATCAGCCGACTTTACTTTCCCAAACGTGAGGCAGGTACCCATCGGAGCTGGGTGGACTCAGGGACATCGTACAGACTCGAACCCTGGGTCCAACTTTCGGTTTAGGAGTCCAGCGCTCTACCATTCGATCATTATATAACCTCAGCCGTAAAATAAAGAACCGTTAGACTATACGATATTGTATGGGAGTTTCTGGTATGAAAACCTGAACAGGACGTATTCGATTATTTTTAAAAATACTAGTATCTCTACCCTAATCTGACCCCCTGGCCTTTCTCTTGACACTATCCCTGTTAATTCGATACCCACAAAAAGTAACCGATACTTTAATGTATGACCTACTGGCCTTTTTATGTCCGTATTGCTGTTGGGGGTGTGATCAGACCAGGGTTATGGGATTGGTTAGGTTAGCCAGCAATACAAACACGCTCAGAAAGGGTTTCGATACTTCTCTACTGACACCATTTGAAGATATTGACATGTTAAACGATAAAAGATGCATGTCAGACCAGCACTCCCAGCGGAATAGTAGTAGTACTCACCCCCACCCCCCACCCACCCCACCACACTGTAAACACATATCACTTCATTTTCTGAAGTGCACGTCATAACGACAGCACGGAAATATTTCAAGCTTATTTTAGTTGGCTATCGATTTCTTATTTCTACTTCCGGTTTCTTGACGTCATCAGTTAATGCGTATTCAAGCTTTTATTTATCGTCGCATTGTATACACACCGGCGCGTGGATTACCGCCCTTACTCTCCGCTGGTTTTTTTTATCTCCCCTTCTCACTGTCACGAACATTATCTTCCGGGGCGGAAAAAAAAATTACATTGAGACAGTTCGCGGACAAGTCTCGCGCCATACTGACCGTTGACCCCTCCACCCCCTCGTATACACACATGAACTATTATTTCTACGGGTGAGGCTGACCGTTATAATATGACTTGAGATTGACAATGTTTAAGTAATGTCAATAAACATTCCCCTGGTATAACGAGCGAGTTGGTCATAAAAAAACAGTTTTGTCCACATAAGACAAGTTAAAAGATTTAAGATATGAATTTGTTGTAATTCAGCTGGGAGTGAATGTAATATGAGGATTTAAAAGCGGTAGGGCGCACGAAACTGCTAACCTGAAAGTCTCGGGTTCGGATCCTGAGCTGAAGTCAGTAGAACGTCCCCGAGTCCATCCAGCTCTGATGGGTACCTGACTCAAGATGAGGAAAATAAAGGCGGCTGGTCACAGGGATGGCTACAGTTTCTTTATATGCCGTGGTCACAGAAATTTGGGGGGGGGGGGGGGGGGGGGCATGACTGTATTTCACTATCAGGTCCGAAAGTGTTTCTCTTCCTCTGATTTGTGTGTACCAGTTTTAGTAGTCTGTTAAATACAAAACAATGTCCATAACACCTACAATACCAGTTGTTCTAAATGTTAAGGTGAAGATATTAGGATCTTGCATAGCCAATTGTTTAGATATAGATTTTGTCTAACATTGCAAGGGCAATAACTGCTGAAAATATGGTTTTTATAATACAAGTTGATGTTTGGAACATAAGTTGCATTGTTGTTCTTTAATTTATTTAAACACAATACTAAGGCAACTTCATAATAACAAGCTTTTAATTGCATTAAAAATAAGAAAATGAAATTTTTAAAAATTTCTGTGGTAAAAGCATTTTTCCCAAAATGTGTGAAAGGTTTAATGAAGTAGGTCAGAATTGAGTGAAAAGACTAGAAACCTACATACAAACAAACATACATTGGGACCTAAGTAAAAGCTTATAAAAATTGAAGATTCAACACTGGAAAAAAAGAATTATCTATAAATCCATATATTTAAACTAAAGCATCTGACATTGTTCTGAAGTGTTGCTTCTTTTTTTCAGATTATTGAAGTCAACAGTATGAACAAAGTTAAGTTGAAATATTGGTAAGTCCTCCTGATGATATCTTCTTCTAACAGTTGATTTATCTTCAATTAGCTAATTAGCAATGATGCCTGTTGAGTACCCAAATGCTGTATACGATTAGTTCTATGGTGGAACTAATGTTCTTTAGCTCTGGCTTCTTCTTTTAAACCCAAATAATTTTAAAGTTATTGATACATTTGTATGTGATTCTAGTTCCATTCCTACAATTTTGTCATCAATTATTTATTTGTGATTTAGCGGAGTTCCATTCAACACACCACAGATTCGGCCAACCATTGAACAAATTGACCAGTCTTTTGGTGCAACTCACCCGGGCGGTGAGTGTTTATTAGAATCTGGTCAATTAGCGACCAGTCTGATGAATTTGTATGTATATACTTACACGTAATCATTAATCAGCATTAATCATTGTATCATAAACAGTCTACAGATACATAGATTACTGCAAAAAGATGACTTATACCTGATGTTTTATACAAGAATATTATGGTCCAACTTTTCAGGGTTTTCATTGTATCTATTTCTTTCCTCAGTGTACATTGCAGAAAAAAAACTTTTTGTTTTGAATTTCCGAGGTCTTTCATTTGATTTCCCCATCAATTCCAAGTATGAGGTTAGTTTCACTTTCTTAATAGTCTTCTCTGTTGCTTTCATTTACTACGGGGTTGTGTTACAAGTGTTAGTTTGTGTAACTTTGTACCATACTATGGAATGTTAATGTTGCTGTATTCAGTATGTGATTCTCTTGTATTTATTTCTTCTGTGTGTGATTCTCTTGTATTGATGTCCTCTGTGTGTGATACTTGTATTTATGTTGTATGTGTGTGATTCACTTGTATTTATGTCCTGTATGTGTGATACTTACTTGTATTGATGTTGTATGTGTGTGATTCACTTGTATTTATGTCCTGTATGTGTGATACTTACTTGTATTGATGTTGTATGTGTGTGATTCACTTGTATTTATGTCCTGTGTGTGATACTTGTATCGATGTCTTCCATGTATGATTCTCTAGTATTAATGTCTTCTATATGTAATTCTCTAGTATTGATGTCTTCTATATGTAATTCTCTAGTATTGATGTCTTCTGTGTGATTCACTTGTATTTATGTCTTCCGTATGTTATTCTCTAGTATTGATGTCTTCTGTATGTTATTCTCTAGTATTGTGTCTTCTGTGTGTAATTCTTTAGTATTGATGTCTTCTGTGTGATTCACTTGTATTTATGTCTTCCATATGTGATTCTCTAGTATTGATGTCTGTGTGCTAAACAGCACTGTGTTAACTTACTTGTACTTCATTCTCCCATCCAGCCAAAGTACGCCCATGGCCTGGGTTCCTTACAGTTTCCTAATGGCATGTCCCCTGTTGTGGCCAGGATGTGTATCTATGCTGGCAACAGCTTGACAGATGCCAGGTCAGCCTCCTCTCATCTATTTATATAAAATCATTTTAGTATTCTAATTGTTAAATGTGTTTCATACGGTTTGTTTACATTGCAATCTTCCAGGGCCCCTGCACTTCCTGTGACGTGTTTCTATGGCAACTGTTTCCTGGAGTGTCTAGAGGTTCTCAGAGATGTCAATGTTACCTCAGGGCTGAAGTTTATTCTGGTCACTGAAGGTAAGAACAAAGATGTGTTTCTATGGAAACTGTTTCCTGGAGTGTCTAGAGGTTCTCAGAGATGTCAATGTTACCTCAGGGCTGAAGTTTATTCTGGTCACTGAAGGTAAGAACAAAGATGTGTTTCTATGGCAACTGTTTCCTGGAGTGTCTAGAGGTTCTCAGAGATGTCAATGTTACCTCAGGGCTGAAGTTTATTCTGGTCACTGAAGGTAAGAACAAAAGACTACAACCTGCTAGGGGAGGTAACAAGATAAATTGGATCAGATCAATTGTTTTTGTGCATAGAAATTTCTAAGCCAAACTTTACCCTTTATATAATCATAAGTAGATGGATGTTGATTTTAGACTGGAATTATGCACTTGATTTTTATAGTATTTAGACTCTGTTAATATTCTTCTTCTTTGTTCTTAATTTTTAGTGTTGAAAGGGATTCCCTCCAACATAATTAAGTACACATGTCAACTGGCTATGCACCAATTAGGCCATTGACTCCTACTTCAGCCTGCTTTTCTTTTTGGATTTGCTTCCATAGCATTTGTCCAACCAAAAACAAACTACAAGGCAGCAGTTTTATTTTTGAGTTGTCTCTGTTAATATCAATTTAATTGTGTGTTTTTTTTCGTTTTAGGAAACATACAGGGTAAACTGGTGGATCCTAGCAAAAAATCTGTCGTTAGAGTTGTGAGATTTGGGGACTCTGTACAGGTAAGTTGTTAGATATTGGGACCTCCCTGTACAGGTAAGCTGTTACATATTGGGACCTCCCACAGGTAAAATTCTAGTTTAGGAACTTTTAAAAATGTTATTATTTTTAATTACTTCACTAGTTTCCACATAAATAGTGCTAATAAAGTTTTAAATATTGGGAATTTTTAAAAACCAATACTGTTGAGTACATTATTTTTAACAGAATAAATAAATAGGAAATACATATAGATTTCTTTTAAAAAAATGTTATGGTGGTGTGTTATATTACATATTGTTGTATCAGTGAGTTGGTGTATAGTCAGTTTCTAGCAGTTGGGTGTAATGGTGTGTAGGCAGTTTCTAGCAGTTGGGTGTAATGGTGTGTAGGCAGTTTCTAGCAGTTGGGTGTAATGGTGTGTAGGCAGTTTCTAGCAGTTGGGTGTAATGGTGTGTAGGCAGTTTCTAGCAGTTGGGTGTAATGGTGTGTAGGCAGTTTCTAGCAGTCTTTTATTTCTTCCCTTTCCCCAGGATGTTGTGAGTAGCCTAGGCTGCCCCAGCCGCAAGTTTTACAAGTCTGAGGACAAGATGAAGATCCACCTGCCAGATGCTCACAAGCATGTGCGATCTCGGAGTGCTGATTACTTCTTTAATTACTTCACCATGGGTGTGGTAGGTCGACCTTTTACATTGTTATACTGTGTTTAGGTGAGATAGGTCCACTTGTTAAATTTTTTAGCTGAGTTTGGGTGCGGTTGGTTATTAAGTTATACTTTTTAGCCCTGTTTGAATCGGGTAGGTCGACCTATCAACTTTTGAGCTGAGCTTTTATAAACCATTATGTACTGATTTTACATTAAAGCTTAAACTTTTTCAGTTGTTAAAAAAACCAGATTTCATAACTTGCCAAAAAAAAAAGTAATGTCATTAAAAATTCGTTTAGAATAATTAAACGATTTACCTAATTTCAACCCATTTAAACAATCCCAATATGTTCTAGAGCTGTTATTTTATTATATTGCTGTAAAAATATATTTTGTTTTTACATGTCTTCACTGTGAATTGCAAAACTGTGCAGTTTTTATATTTGAACCAAAAAAAAGTTTAGAAAAAAAATTCAATTTATCTTCAATTAAATACAACTTTCATTGCTGTCAGAAGCAAAACAACTTTAATTTTAAAATTATTTTAAAATGACGACCTGCATCAAATGTAGTGCAAGAAGTGTGTGGTAGGATTTTTTTATTTTTTAAAAATCTGCTGATTGTCTCCCCTTAAAATTTTTCCTTACATCTCCAGGATTTCCTGTTTGATGCTGTCACTCACAGGGTTAAAAAGTTTGTGCTCCACACAAATTATCCTGGGGATTACAACTTTAATATGTAAGTCATTGAAAACAGTGGGGATTACAACTTTAACATGTAAGTCATTGAAAACAGTGGGGATTATTATTTAATATGTAAGTCATTGAAAACAGTGGGGATTACAACTTTAATATGTAAGTTATTGAAAACAGTGGGGATTACACCTTTAAGATGTAAGTTATTGAAAACAGTGGGGATTACAACTTTAAGATGTAAGTTATTGAAAACAGTGGGGATTACAACTTTAATATGTAAGTCATTGAAAACATTGGGGATTACAACTTTAATATGTAAGTCATTGAAAACAGTGGGGATTACAACTTTAATATGTAAGTCATTGAAAACAGTGGGGATTACAACTTTAATATGTAAGTCATTGAAAACAGTGGAGATTACAACTTTAATATGTAAGTCATTGAAAACGGATTACACCTTTAATATGTAAGTCATTGAAAACAGTGGGGATTACACCTTTAATATGTAAGTCATTGAAAACGGATTACACCTTTAATATGTAAGTCAATGAAAACAGTGGGGATTATAACTTTAATATGTAAGTCATTGAAAACAATTAATAACAGTGTATAAAATGACATTGGAAAAAGACAGATTTTTGCCACTTCATCAAGTTTGGTGCAATTACTAAATGACATTAAGAATTTTTAGATTTTATTACAAAAATAGCTGAATCATGTGGGGGGGAAAAACAACTTTTCACTATAAAGCTAATTATTTTAAAAGCTTACCAGCATGCATGTTTTACAAGCAGTGTAACTGTATCTAAATGATTACTATCTTACCATTACATAACAACTGTAATAAATCACTAAAATGCTTTTTTAGTGACAGTATATCAAATGCTTTCTGTAATTGGTTCTTTTTTGTGTATGTTCCCAGTTACTGTCGCTGTGAATTCAAATTGCCAATCAACATAGAACCAACCAAAGCCACACAAAGCCAGTCTAGCATGCTTGAGGAGGATCTGCTGGTTGTCACAGCTTACTCCAAGGTAAGTCTAGACAGTGGTTGTCACAGCTTACTCTAAGGTAAGTCTAGACAGTGGTTGTCACAGCTTACTCTAAGGTAAGTCTAGACAGTGGTTGTCACAGCTTACTCTAAGGTAAGTCTAGACAGTGGTTGTCACAGCTTACTCCAAGGTAAGTCTAGACAGTGGTTGTCACAGCTTACTCTAAGGTAAGTCTAGACAGTGGTTGTCACAGCTTACTCCAAGGTAAGTCTAGACAGTGGTTGTCACAGCTTACTCCAAGGTAAGTCTAGACAGTGGTTGTCACAGCTTACTCTAAGGTAAGTCTAGACAGTGGTTGTCACAGCTTACTCCAAGGTAAGTCTAGACAGTGGTTGTCACAACTTACTCTGAGGTAAGTCTAGACAGTGGTTGTCACAGCTTACTCTAAGGTAAGTCTAGACAGTGGTTGTCACAGCTTACTCCAAGGTAAGTCTAGACAGTGGTTGTCACAACTTACTCTGAGGTAAGTCTAGACAGTGGTTGTCACAGCTTACTCTAAGGTAAGTCTAGACAGTGGTTGTCACAGCTTACTCTAAGGTAAGTCTAGACAGTGGTTGTCACAGCTTACTCTAAGGTAAGTCTAGACAGTGGTTGTCACAGCTTACTCTAAGGTAAGTCTAGGCAGTGGTTGTCACAGCTTACTCTAAGGTAAGTCTAGACAGTGGTTGTCACAGCTTAATCAAAGGTAAGTCTAGACAGTGGTTGTCACAGCTTACTCTAAGGTAAGTCTAGACAGTGGTTGTCACAGCTTACTCTAAGGTAAGTCTAGGCAGTGGTTGTCACAGCTTACTCTAAGGTAAGTCTAGACAGTGGTTGTCACAGCTTAATCAAAGGTAAGTCTAGACAGTGGTTGTCACAGCTTACTCCAAGGTAAGTCTAGACAGTGGTTGTCACAGCTTACTCTAAGGTAAGTCTAGACAGTGGTTGTCACAGCTTAATCAAAGGTAAGTCTAGACAGTGGTTGTCACAGCTTACTCCAAGGTAAGTCTAGACAGTGGTTGTCACAGCTTAATCAAAGGTAAGTCTAGACAGTGGTTGTCACAGCTTACTCCAAGGTAAGTCTAGACAGCTTTAGCTGGTTGTCACAGTTTACTCGAAAGTAAGTCTAGACAGTGTTATCTTGTTATAGAATATTCAAAGGTTATCATCCATGGTGTATATAAGGTATAATAAACATCAACAACCTATTACATAAAAAATTGTTTTTTAAAGTCATCAAAATAAATATTAAAACAGCATATATTTTTCCACCAGACTTTAAAAACTTTAAAAAAAAAAAAAAATTATTTTTTTACAGCATTAGCCAAGTTGTTTTAATGACATCATGTAGCTAGCTTAATTAACCCATTGAAGGAAATAGAAGTTTATTCTATGTTAATTGATATTTACTTTCACATTCAAGTAAAGGGATTTCATTTAAAAATCATTTTACTTCAATAAACAATAAAATAATTTCACCTACTTTTTCTTAACTTTCAATTTAATTGTGTTGAGTCTACTTTATTTTTAAAGCCTACTTAAATATTTTATTTTTTTAAAGCCTACTTAAATATTTTATTTTTTTAAAGCCTACTTAAATATTTTATTTTTTTAAAACCTACTTTAAATTGAAATTGCTTTTAAATCCCACTTTAAACTGATATTATTTAAAGCCTTCTTTTTAACTGATGTTTTTTAAAGCCTGCTTAAAACTAAAATTTAAAAAAAAAAATTTAATCCACCAGTGGGATGAGGTCCAAAAAATTCTGACCAGTCCGAAGCATCGACCTGTCATCCTCAACAGATCAGCCTCCACCAACACCAGTAACCCTTTTGGCTCAACATTCTGTTATGGCGTGCAAGATATGATTTTTGAGGTGGTTATATTTTTATTCATGCTTTTTTGCATTATGCCAGTTGTATTCTGCTAGAAGAAATATTGCAGATTCTAAGTAACCACTTTTTTCATTATTTTTTTTAAACTTATCTTATAAGGGATTGTGTTCATAACACTAATCTTGCTAGCTTTATTTCCCCAAACTCTAGTTTCATTGATGTAGTGTAAGTTTAATGTCAACTGATATTTGCTTTTAGATTCAGTTCACTTCAAGATTTTCAGGTTTGCTATTGTGTGCTGGGGACAGCGTGGTCAAATTTTACCCAGATTTAGTTGACATTTCAAAGTAAGACTCCTAAATTTTTATTTGCTGTCATTCCTTGCAGGTGATGTCCAACCAGCATATAGCATCAGTCACTTTATATCACTCTTCTGCTCAGAGGGACCCTGCAGCATCTTCTTGACCTCATCACACAAGATTTCCATTCTTCTTGTAAAAGTTAGTACACAACTACATTATATATAATGGGGTGTCGCCTTACATTTACTTACTTTTAATTTGATACCTAGTTCAGTTATCAACATAACTAAATTGATAGCCTAGAAATTTTTTTAAATAAAAGGTGTTTATGATCAAATAGCCACCTAGTTGGCTTTGTTTTTGTAATGTCATGTTCACCTTTCGCTGTAATTGTTTTTCTTTAAGTTGGATCGTTGTCCATAACACTCATGTCAAAATTTGATATGTTGAAATATTTGGGCAAATAATAGAAGCCTGGCTTGACTGTCACGTTGTCCAAGCTGATATTTTAAATTATATTTTTTTTAAATCTTGCTTATTTTATTATTGCTTGAAATTAATTTAGTACAAAGAAAAATATTTATCAAAGACTTAGAAACTTAAAATGAAATGTGTACAACAAACAATAAGCACCCATTTCTATAGTCAGGTAAGTATCGTTGAAGAATCTGCAAAATAACACAAATTAAAATATATTTTAAAAATAAAATTTGTAAGTATAAAAATGAGGCTTTGTCCTTTTTGGCGTATATATTTACCATAACGTCTATAAAACTAAATGTCAAGCGACACCCTATTTTTTAAGTCATAAAACTTAATAGGGAAATTCAGTTTCACCATTCTTTTCTATTGTTAGATATATACTTGTTAATAAAGAAAATAATGTTAAAACATTATTTGCAGAAATGTATTTGAGAATTTTAAAATGTGTAATTTAAATTCAATAATTTAAGTCTTATCTCCCCTACTTTATTTTTTTCTTCTATTTTTCCAGCCAACCAGACTCAGATGGATTCAGTTTATTCCAATAAAACTAAATATACTAGAATCAACTTGTTATTATTGTGCTATGTGGGTTTTTTTTTAATTTCCAATTTATAGAAAGAAATTGTTTTTTTTTTATACAGGTATTTGTCACAGGGCAATATTTTTCCATCTGACAGTGAGGATAAAAAAAAATTATTGAATTAAAGTTTTGAATAAGTTTGTGAATTCAAGTAGAATCATGGAAATTTTCAGAGATCTTAGATATGTAACTTCATATTTCATAAATGAAAGTGATCTATAACTGTGTCTTTTGTTGTCAAAAGATGGTCACCGTGTATCCTTATATGCTGTAAATACGTCTTTATTATGCTGTATATGTATCTTCATATGACAGCCATTGTGAAAACTGTGTCTCTTTACAACCTGGCAATAATCTTACTTAGGTTCACACTACCAAGTAATACCTGTAATATTTGTTAAAATACATTTTCTTACAAATTTCTTCCTAACTAAATTCTAGAAAATTTAGTGTTTCTAAATCAATAAAACAACATCTAAAAACAAGCAAAAATGCCAAAATGTTTATGTATAGAATGTATAGGTAAAGAGGTTGTTGAGCTAATCAATGACTTAATTTGATTTCAGCCAAGTATGTATTGTAATATATACATAGTACTACTATTAACATCATATTATCTAATCTAGGCTTATTCTTAGCATTATTAACATACTTAATAAATTTATCATACAGTTTTTAAAAACCTCAAGGCATTATATTTTTCTAGGAAAGTAAACAAATTATCAGCAAGGCATAATGATAAATGACAACAGACTTTCAAGGTTTTAAAATTAGGGCATCAATATTGTTGTAAATATTGAGTACCAGATTTGGTGATTAATTTATTTATACCTAGTCGATTATTATTGGTCAGAATAAATTAGAGAGCAGAGCGAGTGCTTTAACTATTGTTTCATGAATGATGTCAAAAAGAATTAGATTTGGCTCAAAATAAAAGGTTTAAAATCTTTGAAAGTGTCGGTAAGGATGCTATATTTAGGTTTACTTGTACCGCAGCAAATGAAGCATCTCAACAACAGTGCACCATTCTACAGGTTTGATTGTATTGTAGCAAATGACTTGTCTCTACAAAAGTGAAAACACATGATACAAAATCAAGTATCTGGGGCAGTTATATTTATAAATTACTTTCTTTTAAAGCCATCGGTAATACGAAAACATTAAAAATCTGGTAATCGTATTCTAACGATTAAAAACAACATATTTGTTTTACACAATTTTATCAAAGGTAATAATTACATTCTGATACTAATTCCAGTAACCATTTTTTTTTAATTCCTAAATGGCCAGAAGAAATCAGAATCTTATTTCAACACAGATATCTAAGTGTATTTCCCTTGTTGGTCAATTTTGTAATTAAAATAATACACAAAAGAAATTCTAAGTTGAATTATTTGTTGATCAAAAATATTTTTCAAGTCCAACTAGATGTATGTTTGCCTCTTGCAGAAAACTTAAGTGCCTATTTCTTTCTTTTTTTTTTTGAACAGTTACAATATTTTCATACAAATAATTTCTTTTTTTTACTCTGTGTTGTTATCACATACATCAAACATGTACTGTGCATGTCAGTAAAAATTGACTGAGTGCTAATTTTGAAAAGTAAACTTGTGTCCACAATAATTGTCAATCATTTGAATGTGATTTTGCTCTTTAACTATGTCATGTTATTTTATTACAATTTTAACCTTTTTCTCATTATTAATAGATTCCAACTTGGAAACATGTTTTACAGCACTTGTTAAAAATGTAACCTTTATATATTAACAAGTTATCTGTTATAAGTGAGAAAAGAAAATTTAAAAGGTTTTTGATAAACCCAAAAAACAAGATTGCAGTGGTACTTAGAATGGAGTAAGGCATAATTAATTTATTAGCATTTTTAGAAAGAGTTCTTTAATCAGCATAATTACATTTGGACAAATCGATTTCTGAAAAAAAAATCAGGTTCAGTAGTTTTCTTGTAAGAATTTTGGTGTAATTTTCTTCCCAAAAGTTTTCCCTTATTTCCTATCAAAAACCACATCATTTTAAATCCTTTTTAATTTAAAAATATTTTTTTGCTTTAGCATTTTAAAGGTTTAATCATTTCTAATACTTTTCATATTTGTGTGCAAACTGTAATTTCTAAAAAAAAATTTTTAATATTTTTCGTTACTCTTCTGGTAAATGTAACAAACAAAATCAAGGTTTCCATTTGTCATGGCAGCCTATATCTTCATGCCTGTATATATATTATGTTTATAAAAATGACTCACTTGGTACTTTGACTAAAAAAGAAAAATTGAAAATGTTCTTTCAACTTTGATATTTGTAAATATATGGGAATGTTTCCATGTCGAATTTTCTCTTTGACTTCAGTATGATAAAACATTCATTTTGGTTGTATTTTTTTTATAACATTTCTGCTAGTCCCAGGGTCATGACCTTTTTGTACCACCTGACATCATGTGACCTTGACCTCAGGTTCCAGCTTATAGGGGCATTCCATGGTGATGGCTGCTAGGTGTGAACCAGCCAAGTATTCTCTCATGATCTCTCAGATGTTTTATTTATTTGTTAACATACAGTTGGTCGAGAAATAATAAGTCTGTTTTTTAAATGCAGCTGAGAAGAATAACAGTGATAAAACAGTGTGCTGCTGCCTGTGGCTGCTTTCTATCATAGCACTCCATTTATCTGTCAGAGAAAACAGCATACCCATGAATTTACAGTATTTTTATAGCACATCAGATATGGTTTTTTTTTTTTTATTTCATTTTTTTTTAGTATTTTGTTTAGAGGGATAATATTTTGTTTCTCAAAATATCTGTTGCTTTAGGCCCATCTAAAACAAAAGTGCTACAGAATAAACCTAATTCACTTGTAATAAAGCAACTCTTTTTACCTCTATTTATAAAAACTAAAATGTGCTGTTGACATGTTCTATGATGTTGCACAGAAATGACTTGACATGCCATTTTAGTTGAATTTTTAAAAAAAACCTCTTCAATTAAATGTCTATGAAACTCTAAATGTTACCAGATCTAAATGTTACACCCCCCCCCCCCCCCCAAAGAGTACCACGTGATCTCAAACTATAAGAAAATTCAGACAAATTCTTTTCTCCACTAGCTGCAGAATTCACCCATAACCCTTTTCTGTCATGTGAGATACTTACCTTCAAAGTGAGTGGTCAGTTTGATTTTACAAAAAAAAAAATGTTCTGGTTCCACACACAATTTAATTTCTATTTCTGGGTAGCCATTTACAAAACCTAAATTTTCACACCATTTTATTTAATTTTATGTCCACTATTCCAAAGACATTATTTGGATTTTAAAAATTATATTTAATAGTTATCAAGTAATTAGCAATTAACACCATTTACCACATCATAATTATTAAGGCTTACTTTTTATTTTCATTAAGTAAAATTATAATATGGTTTTTAATTATCTTTTTTATTTATTTGTTAATTCATTGAAGTTTTACTCTATATACAATTGTATTTAAAGCATACATTTTTAAACGAGTTTGTTCTATGTACAATTGTATGTAAACATACATTATTAAAATATTGTTCTATATACAGTTGTATGTAAACATACTTGTTTAAATAATATGTAAACATTAAAATAAGTTGTTTTATATACAATTGTATGTTTAAAAAGAAAAATTTATTTCATCACATTTTTTTGACGAATATTGATGTCTATTGTAAATATTGATATCAATAAATGTTGACATTTATTCTGAAGTAGGTGTGTCCTACTTTCCTTCAATTTTCCAGATATTGTGAGAAGGTTGTTTTTTTTTTTAAATTGCTAGAAGCCCTAGCATTTTTTTTTCTTTGCTAACAGTAATGCAGTGTCTTTCATCTTTAAGTACTTGAAAGAAATTGGTTTATAGCATCTGTAACGTTAAGTTCAGTGGGTTTACACATGTATTTCTGGAATAGCCAGATAAATGTCATATCAAATGATTCTGTTAGGCACCAATTTCAGTTCAAGAAAGACTTGAATTTTTAAACGTTATCTTAATTAACTAGTACAATTTTTGCTGTGATATGTTCTTTTTCTGCATTACTTTTAAGTTTTTTAGCAATAAGGCAGATTGGTATGTTCATGGTAGAGCATCTAAAATCAGTTTTCTCAAAAAGAAGTTGAGTTAAAACTTGAAATGAATTAATAAAACAAATATGCTTAGCTAGGTACTATATTAAATTGTATGGACCAGTGTTGTTTTATTTATTAAAAGTTCTTTAGGAAAAAAAATTGAAAGATAAATGTGCTCAGTAGCTTCATGTTTGTCAGGATTTCTGCACAAAGCTTCAGTCAACATGCAGATCAATGTGCATGTCAGTTTTTATCCTAATTGTATATTTTTTCCATTAGATAATGTTATACATTTGAAGAGGATACAATAAACTATTTGAGATGTTTTTTTCTTGTTTATAGTATTCATTGATATAAAAAATAATGTAAATTGTCCACATCAACACAAATGTAAATTGTCAACATTTTATTTCTTTAAAAAATGATCAAAATTATGAGGGAAAGGGGGAGGTAACTTTTCAAGTATAAATTTCATTCAGATCAAAACTATGTACAGATAAAATAAGCTTACAAACATCCATAATATACAGTGCTCAAGCTTAAATACATGTTCACAACACACACCCACATGAATTTGTTCTAGTTCTAGCAGTCAAAAATTAATCAGAGTTTTAAATAAACCATAGCTATTATATTCAGTGAATTGAAACTACGAAACAAATCATAGATTTTTCTAAAATAAACTAAGCTGAATGTGAAAAATGACAACTAAAAAGGGAGATAATTTCTCATTTCCATACATTACAGAAATGCATCCAAGTAGGTGAAAATTTTAAATCTGTTGAATTCACAAACTTAAAATATTTCTAAAGATTTCTTTATAAGACTATGGTAAAAAAATAATGTGCATGTTTAAAATTTCACTTGCACTACTGAAATTAAAATGCCAAAGATGACAATTTTTTTTATCCCTGACACTGGACGGTAAATGCAAAGAAAAAAAAGGGTTCCAAAAGATGAAAACCAGACTTTTTGAAACAGACTTTTTTTAAAAATAGCCTCTTAATGATCTGAAATTGTGAGTGTTATTTTATTTTTTTTTAATTCAAACACTACAGCTGTACCCTGAAACTTGAACAACATTCAATTGTTTTTTTATTTTTAATTCGACCAATAAAATAAATTCTCATTTTATATATTTATTTTGAAAAAACATGGTAAATCTAAAAAAAAAAGTATGCATTCTATTGATCTATTAAATAATTATCTTGATGGTGTTATAAACAAATACTAGTAGTGCAGCAGTAAATGAGAATCTATTTCAACATTAAACATTCCTTTAGATATCACCAAAAAAATAAAATATTGGACGATGCAAATAACTAATAAAAAAAGGATGTGAAAAAACATAATCAAAATTTCCAGGGTAACAAGTCTTGGGGTTTGGAGTCTGGACACATCCAGCATTGTCTTATGATATTTTTTTTTCCTAGAATTCGTTACACAGATAAGTACACAACCACACGGAAATAACAGCCTTATTTAACAACCCTAGAATGACAAGGTCATAAAAAGCCTATTATAAAATGCATCATAAAATGCATCAAGTTGAGCCTTGTAGTTCTGAGTTGGGGATTTAACACGACTTGTTTATATTATGTTTTGATACATCTCATGATTGTTTTTTTTTTGTTTTAAATGTTACAAAATCTTGGATGTAAAATTAAAATTCTCAAAGGAAAAATATATGGTCAGGCTGAAAGACAAAGGTCATAAAAGATTGTAAGGACAGTTGTTTTCATGGTCAGACCTTTAAAGTTGTATGAATAGATTGATGGATCCTGTTCCCATATTAGTCAAGGCAAATGTTTGCAATAGTTTTTTTCTAGAATATATTACTGTTGTTTAAAGCACCAGTTTCAATACTCATGCAGTGAATTTAACAAAGGTTGATGAATACAAGCCTACTGCATGATCCTTAGAAAAATTGGACATAATCATGATAAAAAAATTATTTTGTGGATCCAACACCACAAGGAAAATCCTATAAAATGGCACAAGCCAAGACTATGTCTAAACACCTTTAAATGAACTTTTTTAAACCAAGGTATTGTTAAAAAGAACACTTGATCGTATAGAAATCAAATCAATTTGTTAAATGTAAAATTGCAGGAAGTCATTTTTTACTAATTAACTAGCATTAGATTCTACTTACAAATTTAATTGTAAAGTGTCATCATTATTTAACAGTACACCTATATTTGCAAAAAATAAATAGTGTTGAAGATTTTAAAGCATTTTATAAAACCTAGAAAATGTTGAGTCATGTGAATGCAAGTATGAGTCATCAAATAAATCATGGAAGTGCTGATAAACTTGTTACCATAGTTACTGCAATTTAGCTATCACTACACATGCTGCAGTGAAATATAATTAATACATTAGGTAATGTTTAAATATATAAGTATATATATATATAACATTTTATTTATATAAACAATTCACACTTGCATTGCAATAAAGGTTTTTAGAATCCTTTAAAGGGTGTAGGCATGAAATACATATTTATGGAAAATATTTCCTTTGCAGTACGAGTTAAGCTTGCATTATTTTCTAGTTTTCACACAATCCTCATTTTTCACAGCATTATTTCCCTTTCAGAAATTAAAGGGGATTAACTCTGGTAGATTGTTAGGCAATTACACTGTGAGTTACCACAAACAAAAACAACTTGGTCACATAGGAGCACAGTAAACATCAGTCAATCACCCCTGTCATTAATAGCATTATTTCTCTAAAGACACTAGAAACTTTGGCTGTGACGTTGGTGTGCGATGAATGAATTAAACTTTTGATGGAGCTTAGGATTGTATGGCAGGCCAAGCATTTCTTGTGTCTGTGAAGTTGAGTAAAATAAACATTACAATACTGCAACATTAGCTATGTCCACAGCAACATTAGCTAAGTCAACTACAACAATAGTTTAATCAGTCAACTAACATAATAGTTCAGTTTATAAAATTAGATATCAACAACATAATGGTTTAGTGAACTACAAAATTAGCCCAGTCAAGTACAACATTAGTTCAATATTATCTGCTCAACCTCATCAGTTGCTCAGTCAACAGGGTCTAACAATCAGTTATAAGTGTTGAAAGTGACAAACTTTAACTCAAGTATTGAAAGTGAGACTAACTTTAACCCAAAGGGTGAGACTAACTTTAACCCAAGTGATCAAAGTGAGACTAACTTTAACCCCAGCAACCTTACCTTTCCTCCCTTGAGATATCTACAAATGATGAAGGTGGCTCCTCCATATTGGTTTTTATAACTGGTCCAAAGTTTTTCAATATTAGCTTGACAGAAGTAGCAGCTGTGATGACATGGCTGTTGAGGTTAACAAAAATAATTTATAAACATCGAGCCCAAATTTTGTCACACACCTAAAAAATAAATTTAACTGGTAATAATTGTAATGATTATACCAGTTAATTTATATATACCACTTGGTTCCAAGAAAACTGTGCAACAGACAACTGTGCAAATACAAACTAATTATACTAATACACTTTAATTTCATCATAATTTGTGAAAAAGTATTTTATTATGCTACAAAGTACATGTATTCATTCTTTGTTTTTGTATATAAATGCTCAATTTAAGAAAACAAAAATACCCTTGCACACTTTTTATGTGTGCAGTTTTCTGTTGTGCATCTTTCCAATCAACATACCACTTAAATGATATTTATAAAATATCCTAAGATTTCTACAACCACACTAATCACAAGTCTTCCCTATAAATTTCTTTTTCTTCTAACAATAAAATACTGAGATATTAAACCCCTATATATTTATTATTTACAGCTAAAATACTGAAATGGAACAGCTCATAACAAAGATGTATCTTTACCTCTCATATTTACTACCCATGGTGTCTTTGAGTTCAGGCAACAACAAACAACACAGGTCTAGATTCCAAAGTGATCTGAAATTTGTTTAAAAACATTGGATACCTCTAGAACTTTATAGATATGTTTAAAATTAGATATAAAGCTCATGCTTTTTCTCCAAGTAATGTTCATTAATATAATGTTTTGTTGATATCCATAATATGGTAACACATTAAAGTTCCCTTTTCAATCCTGCCTTGCACACAGTTTTCAATGGAGTGAGTGAAGTGTAGCTAACCTGTTTCTGTGACCTCTGTATATTAAGGGATAATGTGCTCAGCACTATGCCCAGCTGCCTTTACTTTCCCTAACATGATTTAGGTACCCATCAGAGCTGGGTGGACTCGAGACATTCTACTGATTTTAACCCGGATTCAAACAGAGGTAAGCAGTCTAGCGCTCTAATGCTAGGCCACACCATCTGATGGTAACACCTTACTGCTAACATTAGGTTTTGAACTCAGTTCCCAGTGCTAGAGTCTACTATCAACATAACAATGAGGGGTACCTAACTCGAGTTGGCTTAAGTAACTCTAGCTTAGCCTAGATTTGAGCATACAATGCTTTTATTGGCTTAGGTCAGTAAAACCTTACTTGTCTACTCTGATGAAGGTCCAAATAGGGACATTTTATACAAGGGAAGAACACATCAGGTACTCACGCTCTTGAGTTAATGATGTTGAGCAGATCCACCATAACAGCAGGGTCTTTCATTGAGATGGCTGAATCTATGGCTGTCTGTAGAGAAAACATGTCACATTCACAATATACAAGGGGAAGTAATTTAAATAATCATATTTATTTAATTGATAAACAGTTTAGTCCTTTAAAGAAACTATTTTAAATATATTGTTAAAAGCAAGTTTAACAATAAGTATTTAGCTATTGAGCAATAGAACAAATAAATAAAATGTTGGACTACCTTTGTATTCCCTGAAGTCCACATAGCTCGAACCACCTGTAGATTTCGACTCCTCTGATGTAAAACTGTGACCATTGTGTTATGTCCCTTTGATAGCATATCGATAACATCTGTTTCCTTCTGTTCACTGGAAGCCTTCTGTTTCTATACAATAATGGATGCGGATTATAAGTTTCATTTAGTCTACCTCACAGGTATGAAGTTGTCTCATTAGCTACATAGATCATTGTACATTCTGTATTATAAACTAACTTCACAATAAATTACTAAAAATAATATATTTTAAAATAAACCCAATACATACTAACCATAACATTACCACCCCAAAATATATCCAACATTATACATAAACTTTTTTAAAAATTAAATTATTTTAAATGCAAATTTAAATAGGCAAAACCTTTATATTACTAATTTGTGTTTACATTAACATTATGTCAGGGGATTTTTTTTAACCACAGTGGTTTTTATTTAGGTGGAGGGGGGCTGTCTGTTGAGATATTCTAACCATAGGATTAAAATAAACAAACTCCTCCAGGTACTAATGCATAAACTTACAGGTAAGAAATCTGTAGCCTGCACAGAACTTTGAACCACCTCTCTAGCTGGGGGTTTATGTACAGCTGGTTTACTTCTGGGGGACACTTCCTTTCTGGCAGAGGATGCTGAGCTGACTTTAACAGGCTCTGGAACTTTAAAACCAAAATAGCATTCTTGATATTTTCTTAAAAATCAAAATAGCATTCTTGATATTTTATCAACAACGCAAAATACTTTTTAAAAACACACCAAGGGAACGCATTGACACACTATTGCTGATCAGGCTTAAAAATGTGTTAGGCTTAGAATTGACTTGACTGTCTGTGCTATCCGCTGAATGAATAAAGGTCTGTCCACACACATAAAAACAATAATCTTCCCAAAAACTAGACTTTCCCAAACAATCCTCACCACACTCTGTTATGCACTGTCAAAATACTAAACTTTGTTAAAAACTGACATTATACATTACATTATACTTTACTGTAGGAAAACACATACGGATGTACTGCCACACTCATGCATCTTCAGCACACATATGCATATTTATATGTATGAAAATTAAAATGATTTATTTAATTTACATTTTTCCTACACACAAACAATTTCTATGCTACAGGTACTACAGAGCTGCTGAAATGAAGCAATCCTTGTCAAGAAGTGTAAAGCACACTACACATTGCATATTAAATTCAAACATCAATCTTGAGATCTAACTGTAGTAGTTTATTTTATTGCTTAAATCTGGGTCAACTAAATATAACAAAACATAAAGTGTGTTCATTTAAAATAACTTGATAATTATTTTAATCAGAATAACATTTTAAAAACTTGACCCAAATAAAGATAATTTATTTTTGTTTTTAGAGATAAAAGATATTTAAAATAAATGCTATTTTTCACTCTAAATTGTTATAGAATATGAATAAATAATATAGCCTTTGCTAATCTGATGCTTAACCAAATCTATAGAAAAAAAAGGAATTTAAAATGTAAAAAAAATAACTTAAAACAATCAGCTTCTATTTTTGTTCATTAAGAATTAAACTGTAAACAAAAAATTAGCATAAATTTACTTACTGTCATCTTCTGGTGGGGGCTGAAAGGGTTCCACTCTTGCTCTCACATTGGCTGAAACATGCAACAATCACTTCATGCAGTTAAACACACAACAAAATGAAGCAACTCAAAACTGGTTTCTACTCTAATGTTTTAATTTCACTCAATGCAGTAACCTAAGTTTTTAGTTCATTTTTGGTTTGGGAAAAGCAAATCCATGCAATAACTAGGGTCCATCAATGTTATGGAGCATCTTGTGGGCATGTGTACACAAGATCACAGACACTCCAAAATTAACAGAAGGCAAGAAAATAAACAAGGGAGATAAGCCAACAGAGATAGGTCAAAATAGGAATTAAACCAAAGATACTAAACTAAAAGGAGAAACGAAGCAAAGAAAATGTAACAAGCACACAAAATTATATTTTCATATAATAGGGACTTTGATGATAGGTACTGAGTACATAAAGCTCTGATTTAAACCCTTATCTAAATAAGTTTTTATTCACTAGTACAGGTTGGTGAACATTTTTTTAAATTAAAATGGAATTAAATTCACATTGTAAATTTCACTTTTGTTAAACATTTCTCATAGCTTCAGCAGATGAAAAAGCAAGGCCCAAATATTCTAACCAGTTATTCTATTAATTTTTACATATTTCTGGTTAAATCTTTTATAGGAGATTTAAGGAGAAGGTAAAATAAAAAGGGAAGAGATAAATTACTTTGTAAACTAAAAGACAACAAATGCATTCAGCCAACCCAAATTTCAGGAAATTTCTTTCAAATTCCTCTGAAAACTCATACATACATAAAACAATAGTTTTAATTACCTATGGCAATAATTTTAAGCCAACTACAACCGAATTCAGATTTATTTGCTGAACAAAACAAAACAATCTGTATCTGTACTTACGATTTTTTGCATTTTCTTTAAACAGTCGCCAATAGTCATCTTGATTCTGAATGTCTGCGGCAGATGTGGAGTTGTCATCTTCTGTGTTATCATTTCTGTCAGGTGGGGTGTCTGGTCCTTTGTTATCTGGAGGTGTGTCTGATCGTTTGGGTTCACTAGACAGTCGTAAATTAAACAGTTCTTGTAAGCTACAGAATACACATTTCTTGTCAACCACACAAAACAGTGCTTGTAAACTATACAAAACATATTTCTTGTAAATTTCAGAAAACACATGTCTTGTAAATTACACAAAACACATTTCTTGTTAATTACACAAAACACATTTCTTGTTAACAACACAAAAAGTTGCTTGTAAACTACAGAAAACGTATTACTTGTAAGCAACACATACCAGTAATGCAAAACGGTTTACACCCATTCAAGCACATTAACACTTTAAAACTTAATTACAAACAGATTTAAATAAAGTTATACTTCTGTTCTCGTGAAGAAGATGTTGGCGGTCGCTCTGTTATAAAACTTCTTCTGCCACCCGAACTGTTTGGATGAAAAGAATATTTCAATGGCCAGCAAAAAAATTTCTTAATATACAATTGTAAAAGTGAATAAAAACAAACTTTGGTTTAAGAAGCCTAATGCTCTTGCCTGGTTATTCTTTGAGGTTTTGTTTCTTCAGATCTACTGGCTGTTCCTGTGGGGGATACTTTCTGTAGGGAAAAAAAATTCACAATATCAATTTAGTCACTGATTTATATTTTTAGACTTTATAAGTATTTTGTTTTTGTACAAGAAGTTATATGTTACAACAAATTTTGTCTGAACAAAATAATATATGTATTTAAGTAGTTGTTCACAGCTTGCGGTTTCTCATACCCTAACACAGTGGACTATAGACAGGTGTGTAAAAATAGAATTTGAAATGGATAAAATAATAAAAAAACATAAGTATTATCTTGGTTGACAATCTATCAAATTATTAACATGATAGAAAAAAGTAGTAAACATTACTGTTGTATTAGAAATAAAAGATTGCATCTTCATCTGGTGAACAATATCAGGTACTCTAAGCTTTCTTAGACAAATTATTAATTTAAATTTTATATTTAGGACTTACATTTATTTTACATCTATAGTGTAAGTACACAAATAATCTACAAAGTAAACAGAATGTGAATTATTTTTAACTCTAAAACACAAGTAAAGAAAGTGACTTACATTTAAATCTAAAACATGAACAGAGAATGTGAATTATATTTAACTCTTAAAACACAAGTAAAGAATGTGACTTACATTTAAATCTACAACATAAGTGGAGACGTTCGTCTTGCAATAAGAAGCAGCAATCTGGGGATGTGAGAGAAACCAAGTTAATTTAGAACCCATAACACACTGACTTAGAATATAGTTGCAGTCATATTTTAACGTGTTAGATTTATCTTAGCCAAAGTCTATCCTCATATAAACAGAGGGAATAAAATGGCATTTCTCTACTATAGCCAGGTCAAGAATTCCTGGAAGGAGGGGGAGGTCTGAGTAAAGAACAAGCAAAATAAAAAATTGCATCAGAAAAGCAAAGAAAGAAAAATGCCTCCAACATAGGATGGATGAATGTTACATTGGTGAATTGGAGACCTGGAGAAACTAGCTCAAATTGTTGGAAAATATTTGCTGCTGGTTCATAGCTTAGTTGACAGCGGGCTGTTACTTTTACTTCATAAACAGTTCAGTTTTAAAATGTTAAGTATGTTACACCAAGGTTTATATAAACAACATTTAATAAATTTGTAACTAAATATTCCAATGGTAAAATAAGAACATCCATGTACTGTTTATTTAGAATCTTTAAATAATCTTTTGAATCTAAAAAAAAAATTTTTTTTTTAAAAACAAAGTAAATTGAAGAAGGAGAAACTAGAGGACCCAACTCACCAGCTGTGAGTTAGCTATGGCCATGTCTGCTACATCTGACCAGGCTATGGGAACCACATCATGGCACACCAAAGGCTCCCAGCCGTAAACTTTCAAACTGTCACCGGAGGCACTGTACAAACAAGATCCTTCGGGGTGGAAACATACACTCCTGAAATTTTGAAAAATTATTTAGTATTGAAATTTATGTTAAATTATCTCATAAGGCATCTAAAGGCAATAGGTATAAATTCTCATTTTTATCTCTTTATTTTCATTTCTTAATTTCTCAGTCCGGTAATCATGGAAAACTGAGCTATGAAATTAGATTTACAATTACCGAATAGGTGATTTGTCAGCTTCAGATGTTGTTATACACTGGAATGTTTCAAGGTCCCAAAACTTAACAGTTCTGAAACAGAATTCAATTAATTGTATAATGTTTTAATAGTAAACAATGTTATTCTTTTAGCATAAATTCAAATAGTCAAGTCATAAGGCTAATAATAAAATTATGAAAATTTAAAAAAAAAATGTTTACTTATCACTGCTGCCTGAAGCCAGGAGGAGATCAGATGGATGGAACTCTACAATATTGACTGGCCCTCTGTGAAGTTTTAGCTCTGTTAGAAGTTTTCCTGCTGTTAAATCCCAGATCTGTATAGAAGGACAGTAGTGACAATATACAGCTAAATATACTAATAATTAACAGCTGGTTTTTCTTTGTTTCTCTTTTAACTAGTTTAAATAACACCAAAAAAAAAAAAAACAATGATCTGACCAATAAACAATATTGTATATTTGAGGAATCCTTTTGCAAATTGTGCAAAATCCACTTTTTGAATAAAAATTAGTTATCCTTTTAGCCTTTTTAAATGGGGGGCAATTAAAGCATACTAATTCTTGTTTTTTGGGTGTACACTTTTTAACAGTAAAGTATCAAAAATCCAAAAATCTTAAAACTTGATTTAATTAAAATAAATCAGAAGTGACTTGGAAGGTTTTGCAAGTGGACACCCTTTTTCTTTCAGTTTATTGCTACAAAACTAAAAATTTATATGAAGATTGTGACAAATTACAATAAAGCAGCTAACTCTGTTAATTTTTTGCAACAATGCAGTATAATTCTACAACAAAATTATGACCTTAATAGTGTGATCATCACTGGCTGATGCTATCCACTGCCCATCTGGAGTAAACCTTAAACAGTTCACAACATTTGTGTGGCTCTGAAAACATAAACAAATACTGTAAAAATACCCATTATAACACTGATATTTACATAGTCACTTATATAGTCTTATATAGTCTTCTTATATACAAAGAAAGCAAAGACGGCTACAATAAAAAAAAAATGTTCACCTTCTTATAATAATAATTATGTTGGACATTAGATTAATTAAGTAATACAAGTAAACAAAATTACCTTGTATGTATAAATGCAACCTTTTCTTCGAATATCCCATAACTGTTGAAGAAAAAAAATTTAAGTTCAAACATTATTGGCAATTTAATTGTTATATCAATGCTTAATATTTACGGTGACAACAAATTACATGAATTCTATCTTCAAAAACAAATTCAAGCGATGAGTTTTCAACAGCTATATTAAGTTAATTTTCTTTTTAAAATGTCCAGCATACTCTATTGATCTCTAGCTTACTTTCACATTGGTGTCCATGGATCCAGAGGCCACATAGTTTCCATAAGGATGAAAGTCTAATGACTTGATTCCAGATTTATGGCCTGTTAATGTTCGCAATACTGAAAAGACCAGCAAAAATTATTATATTATAGTCTGTAAAAGTAAAAGCACACCATTAAACATATAGGAACTTAAAACATAGGTTATCTAAGAACAAAATTTGTGGTATAAGTGTTTATATAATTCATATATTTTTTTTAGGTAAAAAAAAGGAATAAATATGTATGATAAGAGAAATTTACTTTTTGCCTGCTCCAAGTCCCAAACTTTTAAAGCTCCTGAAAGAGATCCAGCAACCACGAGTTCTTCGTCCTGACCAAATCTCACAGACTCAATACTGGTGGTGTGGCCTGTTAAACTCTGAACACAATCATCATTTCATAAGTTGTAATTATATTTGTTCAACAACAAACACTTAAAGATTTTGCTACTTTAATAACCAAGTTACACTTTTTAAACAAATGTAACAAAGAATTTAAACTGCTAAATCAATGTTCAACTGTTAAATTTCATGTAGCTCTTTCTTTCAAATTTAAAACAAAATAGGAACAAACTTTACCAATCAACTTTAGTACAGTTTGAGCTTTTTTCATACGGATTAAAACTAGGTAAAGATGTATAATCTATATCTTATTATGTAATTAAATTCATGCTTAAAAGTGGGTAGGCCTAATTGGCTAAAATGTAAATGTTTTTAAAAACAAATAAACCGGGAGTGATCTCCCCTAAACTTTCTCGAATATTCTTATATAAAACAACAGGGGATGGGAACTCGGGCTATAGACATGAATTTTAATCCATTTTAAATAAAGTTTTAAAAATAGAATAAAATCCTGTAGACGAAAGAATTGCACACCAAGTGAACGCCAAATAAAAAAAAGTGCACAATAGTGCGCAATATTATTAGTACTTTAAAAATTTACATTAGTTTTTTGAGAAATCGGAAGTAGCGTAAATTACTACTTCCGGTCAATGGAAATTACTCAAAATTTAACAGAAGGTAGAGAATTAGATCTTTTACTTACATGTGAAATTTTATTTATCTATCTGAAATAGTTCGCAAGTTATAGGCTTTTGAAAAATTCAAAGTAGAAAAAGTACCACTTCCGGTTATCGGAAATCGCTCAAAAGTTGATACGGATCTACGAATTTGATAAAATACTTATATATGAAATTTCATCGACCTAGCTGTAACGGTACTCAAGTTATCGTGTTTACACACGGACAGACACACAGACATACGGACAGAATTGCAAAGCCCAATTTTTCAGACTGGATTACGCATAAAACCTCTTAATTTTGATAAATCTGGATTCATAATTTTTGCCCGATTAAAATAAGTCCTCTATACTTCAGATGTGATGAAGGACTGAGGTGTAATACGGTGAAAATTGTTAAAATTTCAAGTGATTTTTGTGCACGATTACAATACTTTCTCTATACTTCGTATATACGAGAAAGTAAAAAGCTAGTGACTTACATAATTGACTACTGTACTTACCATTATGCAGTTTGGCTTTCCCACTGACCAAAGGTTGACCTTCCTATCCTCTCCACCACTCACCATGACACGTCCTGATTTGTGACCCAAACCAAGACTTTTGACATCTGCTACATGGGCAGTGAAGTCCTCTGCATTTAATAATGTTTGTTATTAATAACAGTAGCATTTAGGTACATTAATTAATTTTAAAATTATGTAGGCCCTAGGCCTAAACAAATTACATAAGATCAAGTCACAAAGTTAAAACAAGTACTATTCTACTTTTGAAGTAGTACTAGTAGATCTAATAATCTAGAACAAGAATCTTGGTATGTGATTCTGAATATGTCATCCAGTGCAGTGGTGAGTAGGCCCTACACTACACTTCTATACTCTATGTTGTAGATCTAGTGAATGTAGACTCTAGTGTAAAGTAAAGTGTAGCAGACTCAAGTCATGAGTACTGAGTAGTGAGTAGTCACACTGACACTAATAGTAATACTAATTACTCGTCTAGCTAGACCAATCTCTTGACTTAATCTAATCTAGCTACGCTATATCTAGATATTCAGATCTAGAATTCTATTCAAGAGTCTAACTAGTTTTAAGTAGATTTCTAATCTCAGAATCTGGAATTTAAAAAAGAAAACAAAAACTTACGAAGTTTCCATGCTTTTTTTGTTGTCGCCATAACTAACTGTTCAAATATAACCCACACAATTAATATTTGGCGTAGAAAAACATTAACCAAACATTGATAATCTACTAGGAAGATAAATATGTATAACCAGCCTTCATTTGTTTTGAATACAGTCAAGTATCTTGTCTGTCGATTTAACTTTTATTTTAATGTGAGTAATAACAGAGATATGGTAGAAGAAATATGGTGGCGTATGCTATTTAAAACAGTTTTTCATTGGCTTTACAAAAATATTAGATCCAATCACAGGGGAGAACACATTACGTTAAGGAAGTTCCTTGAGCGACGGTACATTTCCGATGTAAACATTTACTAAACCCCTTGTTGTTAAGGGTACACCCCTTTGCCTTTTTTGTTATGTTATCTAGTGATTTATTGCATTTATTTAAATTTATTTGTCATTGCTCAAAATGTTTCGCTTGATTAGAGTTGTATCGCACAAAAGATGTTTGCATTATGTGCAGGGTCAGACTCCAGACCCCAAAACACGAGAATATTTCTACTTCATTGATCACCAAGGACAGGTCTGTAAAACCAGTAAAAACTAAAAAAAAAAAAAGGTGCAGTCAAGCGGCAAAGGCTTAAACAAATAAAAATCAAGATTTTAATGTAATCTTACTAGATCTAATACTATCTCAGCTTGGCTTAATACATGTAGGCCTATTTTTTTAGAAAACAATTTAGTTTAGGGGGGGATTCATGCTGCTTGTGATACAACAAAGTGTCCACTCAAAATATGTGATTTACATTATATATATTGTCTCATTATCTAGCCTAGTTAATAATTAATTTCTGTGATCTACAATATATTTGTATTAGGCCTTTTTTTATAACATTATTATTATTATAAAGTATAAAGACCTACATACTAGTACTACATTACATCGGACAACCCCTGAGCATGGTAGATCTATCTCTTTATTTTATTTGCCAAGTTTACAAAAACAGGTGAACTCTACTTCATCTGCCCCTTTCATGGGGTCCAAAAGGGTTAATTATTTATGTTAATTAATATCCACACACAATGTTTTCAAGTTTATTTATCTTTTTCCCTTTTTATTCTAAAGCTCTTTTTGGATGATGCAAAAATGAAAAACTTCACTTCATGTTTTAAAGGTAAGAGTTTCACACAAAACACTGAGATGAAAATCTAGATGAAACTAGTAATTATGATTTAAAACAGTTGATGAAGTATAGTTTGTTTATTGTTTTTTAATTATTAAAATGTTTATTTTCAACAGAAAAAGACTTCCTAGTTTTCTTTTTCAAAAGACTTAAAAGAAACGTGGATGGAAAATACAAAGACGAGTTCCCCTACATTTCTCCATGTGGCAGAGAACATAATTATGTCCGCTGTGACGACACACCTCTAGTCTTCACCCATATCATTGACGGAAATTTATCTATCCCTGATCGTCTTTCATACAATGGCGCTGGTGACAGGTTAACACTACAGTTTGAGCCAGAAAAAGTCTGCATGTTGCCATCTTCTGGTCGTGTTTACCACCCAGCACCTGGCCAGTATGGCAGCATTGGCCTCATCAAATCCTCTCTGGCAATCGAAATGAGCAAACATTTTAGATTTGAAACTGGGGATGAAACCAAACCTCCCTCCCATTTTACTTGGAAAGGTGTGACTTACAAACTTACAAATGAATTGTTTGATGTGATAAAAGATAGAGATATCTTAGATTCTGGATGATGATAATGTTAAAAATAAATGTACACATATTACTAATTTGTCTTTATAATTTACTGGGAAAACTACATTTAGTGTAATTTATTCCTTACCCAATTTCCCAAAACGCTATAACTATAGGGAAGTGAAGTAAAGTCATGAATAATTTATTCTACAATGGAGTTTTACAAATTATTTTGAGTTGTTTTGTCATTAATTTTTATTTTTATAAGAAGTAAGGTCAACCCGACTTGTGAACAGTTCACCATCAAACGAGTTTACATGTAGATGTATATGAATAAACTGAGATGAACTACAACTGTCTATTAAACCTGTATATAGATAGATAGATAGATTTATAGATAGATATATCAATTGATAGATGGATCAATTTATAAATTTATAGATATATAGATGGATATAGATATACATATATAGATAGATTTACATATATAATAATATATATAAAAGATAGATAGATAGCTTCTAGTTTTAGGAGGAAGAAACACAAATTTCTTGTTTTTAAAACAAATAGTGCATTGTTGTCACAAACACGCTGAGATGCTACTCAGGGTATGATATAATACAAATAAAAATCTTCACTGTTTATTCAACTGTCTTGACATGCACTAGGTTTTACAGATCTTTCACATACACTCTGGGGTTGGCCCAGGAAAAATCTTAGTGGGCCCCTCCCTAGTGCTGTAATAGTCCTATTAGATTGTTATTCTAAATTTCCCTTCATGCCAAGTTGTAAAATTCAGGCTTTGATGTATACAAAAATTTACCATCTGGGGTTGGGGGCTCTTGGGCACAGCCAGTCCACCCCTGCATATTAATGAAGATGCAAATTAACAACAAAGTGTATTTATTTGAAAGGAGCGGTAACCATTTTTGCTGGCTGGATTAATTAAAAGTTGAATTACTTCCCTTTCTTCCTTGGACTTACCGGTTAAATGAAGTTATATAGTTATAAGTTATTTTAGGCGTCAACAATGAATGACGTCAGGCTTGTCTTTCTATTTTACCCCTTTCCCATTGTCACAAAAATACAGATTCCCACCCAAAATGTTGTCAAACCTCAACATATACTTCCCTCCCTCAAAAATTGCAGTTTTGTATTTTAAATATTGATTTAATTTCTGAAATATTTACTGAGCTCGGTCTACATCGAGTAAATTTATATTAATATATTACAATTTTAAAAAAAAACAGAATGACAGCAGACATACATTGTGAAGTAAATATAAAGCTTATAAAATGTGACGTGCGTTCATGATACGCATAATTAATTCATTGTAATTTAATCAGTGAAATTGTGAGTTTTTTATTTTTTTGTCAATGGTAGTTAATCATTTAATGTTCTTTAGTCGAATTGAGAGGAGAAATAAGTACTTGATATCACTCATTACAATCATTATAATTTATCATCCTGATTTATAATAATTAACTACACTAAACATAAGGGGAGACTATTTTTAGCTCTAACAGTGAAAGTTAAAGTATGTTAATTACCCCCCCCCCACCCCCCGGGCTATAACACCCCTTACCCGCCTTGTGTATACAGTAATAGTATAGGCCTACATAATACACTTATCCCTATCCATCACAATATCAAACTCTTTTCCTATCCGGTATACGGTCAATTAGTAATCGACTGGGGGGGGGGGGGGGGGTGATAACCTCGGTGGGGGAATAGTCAAGGAGGGAGTATTATCCTTCCTCTCAGTTACGTATGTACACAATCATGATCATATAGGCCTCCATTTGATATAAATATGTATAAATATAGCTTATACATAAGTGTATGTATAGGATATATATATATATATATATATATATATATATATATATATATATATATATATATATACGTATCCGGTTGCATTAAGCCATTTGAAATCCCGATTTGATTCTTGTGGGAATTAAATAATCGATAGATCTACTGACAGTTTAAAATTACTTAATTTCGTCCGTTATAATGGTTCCCAGTTGGTTAAGTTATATGTGTTGTGTTTGTTTTGAGTTTCTTTCCAATTGCAAATCAATACGCCAACCTCTGGTGCATTCTTTTGATCCTCTGTTTTCAGCGAGTGCGATAATGGTCAGATGTGGTGGCGTTAGGTGAGTTACTTGCACGTCATGCGCTCATCTGAGGCTGTCACTGTAAGGTAACTCACGCGTGAATGATGGGGATTGTGTGAGGGGGGATGGGTGGCAAGTCCAGCGGGGGGTGGGTTACGTCAGCCGGGACACGTATCGAATCATTGACCATTCTTTTTCTTAGGTCACAATGTCTGTCTAGTTGACTAGTCCGCCTGTCTGTATGTTTGTCTGTTCGTCCATACGTCCGTCTTTCTGACTGTCTGTTTATCCGTCTATCGATCAGTCTGTCTGTTCTTCTGTCCGTCCGTCATTCTGTCTGTGCCCGTCCGTCTGTCCGCCTACCTGTCTGTCATTCTATGAGTGGGCCTGTGTCAAATTAAATTTTGATCAATTTGTATACCTACGATTTCGTCCAAACCTTCCAGATAACACGATTGGATAATAACGGGGGGGGGGGGGGGTTCAGTAGATTTAATAGTGTTAAATAGGAGTAGGCTATTGATGTTTGCACACCTTAGAGCCGACCACGGACGTTAATAACCGACAGGTAAATCTATTTGTCTCAAGCTTTTGATCCGGTTTGAAGGCAAATAGTTTAGTCGTGAGGGCTGTTAGCTTCATTAAGAATTGACAGAATGTAAAGAATAACAATGATATTCCCATTTATCATTTTTAAAATATCATTGTCATGTCTGTGTGTTGATATGGTCTGGGATAAATAAGGATAGGGATAGGCTAGCGATACAAACCAATACCAAAGTATCAATACGATCAGCTTAAGTCTTATAGCAACTCTTTCTTTCTATAATTAAAACAAAAATGCACCTAAGCACATTTTTTTTTGCCTTGAGACAGCATCAATAATCTTTGAACTGGGTTGATAATCAATAAGCTCCGGGCCGTTTCAGTCGCGTCGCTTTGACATTTTCGTCGTTCATATTGTAATTCTCATCGGCTGATCAATTCAAATCAAACGATGGTCCAGTGGCGTCACGCAGGGGTGCGGGACATTTCGGATGGCACAAAACTATGGAGAATGAGGGGGCGGGAGTCAAATTTAAATTGTAAATTGAACATGCCGGCTAAAACTTTATTTAGTAACTGAATAATGTAGAATAGACGTGATTCCACAATGGTAGCCTCAGTAGATCACAGGGGACTTCGTATGCTCTAGTGGTCGCTGACAGTGTTTTTTGAAGACTTTTTCTCCTGGGGAGGAGGGGGGTGGACGCTGGTAATATTATATATTTCTAAAAAAATTCTATTTCGTTCGAGGGAGGGGAGGGGTGTCCTGAAAGAAAAACGGGTCGCCGAATAACCAGAAAATCTAGACGGAATTTCATTAGGTTTTTAATTAAAATATATATTGAACATGGAATGCTTCATTCAAGTGGCGCAACTTATCTGGCAGCAATAGAAAAAAAACAACTGATTCCTTAATTGTTTTTTCTCCAAAAAACTTACATAAGTTGGTATTGTGAAAACGTCGGTAGGGCATAACTTATATATATATATATATATATATATATATATATATATATATATATATATATATATATATATATATATATATATATATTACTAGTACCGCTTCCCTAACTAACTAAACTTCAAGCCCGAACATTGATCTACGCCCCCGACTCCAACCCTGAGCCTGATGTTGATACCGGCGGGTTGAAAACGATACGATGTTGACATTGTTGTATTCCCTGATTCAAGTTTGACACCAGCAGCCTAATAGCCACGCCTCCATACCATGAGGCTAAAGGGTCCTCCATTTTTGACGTCCACGCGGGGGGGGGGGGGGAGAGGACAAAAATTATAATAACAAATATACAAACTTTTTTGCCTTTAGTAGTATATAGATTATCGAAAATATTACAGCCGTATATCAGTACATGTTATTGAAATAGTAAACTGGTAGTAGGTTTTGAGTGCTCTACTTAATTTTTGTGGACGTCCACATGGGGGAGTGGGTTTCGTCTAAAGTGGACGTGTGTAGACGGGGGGGGGGGGGGAAGTGGGGAGTCTAAAATCCGAAATTTTTGTGGACGTCATAAATGGACAACCCTTAATGCTAGACATTCATAGCCTTCACCGAGCGTATCGATACTTTTAAAAGTGAAAATCGACTTCTTGACTTATGCTTGACATTCGTCGCTCTCACCTGGAATATCGATACTTTTAAAGGTGAAGGTATATCGCTTGACTTATGCTTGGCATTCATAGCCTTCACCGGGTTATCGATACCTTAAAATGTTAAGATCGATGCGCTTGACGACAAGCTGCCTAGTACCATGGATGTGAACCTGATCAGTACATCTTCCAGCCTATCCGACCCGTAGTAAATGGGCTACATACTATCCACGACACCAACTCCATTTCATGTGTTTAAATCTAGTGTCTAAGTTGAGCCGTTCATCAAAGGTGTTGCTATCTATAGAATGAGTATTTGAATTTTTGTTCTCACCCATCTCTGTTGTAATAGGCCTATAAACTGTCATAACTACCTAACGAACGAAAACCCTGTTGATTAATTAATCGCTGGAAATAAAGCTAATAAGGCTGAAAATAAGAACATACACATCTACATCAACTATGACACACAGTATATCAATTTGGCATACAATATGTATTGTGTATATCATACACATCTATCAGTAACGCATACATACACATCTACATCAACTTCGTCGCTGCGCATATCAATCTTGCATACAGAATAATGTGTCTTTCATAGACATTTAACAATGACACCTAGCATACACATCTAGCTATTGAATTCCCCAGCAAATCCAAAGAAACAACAAAATGGACCCGGACCGCCAACTTCACTCCAATGTTTTGTTTTCATGTTTGTTACCCAAGTGTCACTAAGCCTGTTAACACAAATAACACAATATCACAGCGTGGTGTTTCGAGGCAAAGCTGAAAAGAATGGCAAAAAGAAAAACATGACAGCTACTTAGAATTGTTAACTCTTTTATAAATAGATCTTGTCAATGCAACACATGCACGTCTGAAATATCAAAGTGTACTGCAATGTAAGACTTCGACGCCTCACAGATTTACTTTAAAAAAACTAGTGACGACATCTTTAAACTAATCTTCCAAGGTAGACAATC